ATAATTTATCAACTGAAAATTAATCAGATCCTTTTTGGTAAAAATTAATTTTTAAATAATGAGTGGTTCATCAACTGAAAATTAATTTTTACCAAAAAGGATCTGACTTTAACTAAAACAAAAATATTTTGCCTGCTAAGAATAATTTATTTTTTAAAAATTAACTTTTACCTGAACAAAATACTTTCCCTAGAGTAAAATTTATTTCCACTTGTAAGAAATACTTTATCACTAAAAAATATTTTTTAACTGTAAGGAATACCTTCAATTGCAAAAATTAAGTTTTACCAGAAAAGATTAGTTTATTTTCTAAAAATTTTTTTTATCTGAAAAAATAATACTTTACCTACCATTAAAAATTTATTTCTATTTGAAAACAATACATAATCACTAAAAATTATTTTTTGCGTGGAAGGAATACCTTTAATTAGGTACAAATTAATTTTCACTAAATAGTGTAACTACTAGAAATTCTAAAAATTATTTTTTTCAAGACAAGGAAACTTTCAATTCTGCAAAAGATCATTTTTACATGAAAATAAATATTTTACCTACTAAAAATTAATTTTTATCAAAAAAATAATTCATTTATCTACTAAAAATCAATTTTTTCCTTGAAAATAATTTCTTTATCTACTGAAAATAAATTTTTATCTGAAAATAATTTATTTATCTACTGAAAATTAACTTTAACCTTAAAAAAATACTTTATATATTAAAAATTATTTCTTACTTGAAAGAAATATTTAGAAATAGGCAAAAATAAATTTTTTACCTAAAAGAGAATACTTTTAACTACTAAAAATTAATTTCTCTTAAAAATAAATATTTTATAGATTAAAAATAAATTTTTACCTTTAAAAAAATATTTAATTTACAACTAAAAATTAATTTCTAATTGAAAAGAATACTTCATTACTAAAAATTACTTTTTGCGTGAAAAGAATATTTAATTATGTATTCTGTCAAATAAAAATTAACTTTTATTTGAAAATAAATACTTGATCTATTATAAATTAATTTTTACCTTAAGAGTGTTAAAAGAATACTTTATATGCTGAGAATTATTTTTTTCATTAAAAAATGCATTCAATTCTGCGAAAATAATTTTTGTACTTGAAAATTAATACTTGAACTAGTAAAAATTAGTAATTATTTGAAAATAATACTTTATGTAACAAAAATTAGTTTTTACTTGAATCGAATACTTTATACACTAAAAATTATTTTTTTTTATTAAATAAATACTTTCAGTTTTGCAAAACTTAATTTTTACTTGAAAATAAATATTTTTGTCTACTAAAAATTAATTTTTACTTGAAAAATATTCTTTCCTTACCATAAAAAATTAATTTTAACTTGAAAGAGTGCTTAAAGTAGAAGAAAATGAATTTTTTACTGAAAAAAAATACTTTTTCGACTAAAAATTATTTTTCGCCTGATAAGAATACCTTAAAATTAGCAAATATTAAATTTTTACCTGAAAATGTTATTTTTTCTACTAAAAATTCATTTCTACTTGAAAAAATACTTTAACTACAAATTAAAATATATTTTTACTTGTTAGGAATACTTTATAAAGTAAAAATTATTTTTTATAAGAAAAGAATATTTCCGATTATGCAAAAATTAACTTTTATCTGAAAGTGAATAGTTTATCTATTAAAAATTAATTTTTACGTAAAAAGTATTCTATTTCTGACAGAAAATTAATTATTACTTTTTAAAAACATATTTTTCAACGTGGATTTTTCTTCTAAGTAAATAAATAAAAATAATTTTTTGACAGAAAAGAATACCTTTAATTATATAAAAATTCATTTTTACATAAAAATAATTTTTTTATGTACTAAAAATTAATTTTTACTTGAAAAATACTCTTTCTTTACGAAAAAAAAATTAATTTTTACTTAAAAAAGTGCTGTATCCAGCAAAAATTAATTTTTTACTGAAAAAAATACTTTTTCTACTGAAAATATTAATTTTTACCTCAAAAATATTCTTTTCGTACCAAAAATTCATTTTTACTTTAAAAAAAATTTTTTTCTCTAAATTTTAAAAAATTTTTTCTTTAAAAATTTTTTTTTTTTACTTTTGGTACTGAATCTACTAAAAGTAAGTTTTTGAATGGAAAGAATACCTATATTAATTATAAAAAAATTAATTTTTACATGAAAAAAATACTTTACCTACTAAAAATTAATTTTTACTTGAAAAATAATCTTACCTTACTACAAAAAATTAATTTTTATTTAAAAAATACTGCATCTGTCAAAAATTAATTTTTACTTGAAAAATAATCTTACCTTACTACAAAAAATTAATTTTCATTTAAAAAATACTGCATCTGTCAAAAATTAATTTTTAACTGTAAAGAATACTTTTTTTATTAAAAATTAATGTTTGCCTGGAAAAATATTCTTTTTCTTTTAAAGAAATTAATTTTTACCCAAAGAAATTATTGTAATTGCCAGAAGTAATTTTTGACTGAGAATAATTACTTTATCTGCTAAAAATTATTTTTTATTTGCGAGAATAATATTTTTCTTACACAAAAATTAATTGTTTTTGAAAAAAAAAATACTTCACCTGTTTAAAATTTTTAACTAAAAGAATTTTTTTTAAATATATTACAACTAACAATTAAGTGAATTAATAGTGCAACGTAACTTTTATATACATTTACTTACGTAATAATTATAATTCTGCAAGACTAAATTTACAAGAAGCAATTTCATTTATATTTTAGTAATAAATAATCTTTTCATAGTTATAAAGATCACTTGCGCATAATTTCATTACTAATTTCTTTTTTTTATCACCTTTTTACAATCAATACTTTTCAAAAGTAGGAAGTTACTTCTTTCCTTTTCTTTCTTTTTTTTTTTTAGTCGAAAAAGTACTTTGTACATCAAAAATTAACATCTCTTTTGCAAAACTTTCTCTGACAAGAGAGCCGACTGTATTGAAATTCACCTAAAGAACGTTTCGGCTCGTTTACTTGTTTGCTACATAAATCACAAAATAGAAGAAAATTTCCATAACACTTTGTGTTCATTCATTGACTAAAATATACAACAGTTAAAATCCTTTTAGGATCTTTTAGCGATTTCAAAAGTCTACAATTCTCACAAAATTCATATACATACGATGAGATTTTTTTCATCTCCACTTATGCAATTTTTCCCCATTAAAAATTTATTTTTCTTATTAATTTCTATATATAATTAGCAGTAGATAAAATAGAATGGAACTTCCAACTTTAAATCGACGATATTTTTACAATTTACAATTTTTTGATTTTATCTATTATTTAAATTTTTAATTAATTTAATAGATAAAGTAAATTAGAATTATTTCCAACTTTTTAATCGACGATATACTTTTTACCAATTAGGATTTTTTTATTGAAAATAGAATTTAAAGAAATTTTGTATTCAAATTTAATTGATAAAGTAAATTAGAATTATTTATCGTTTAATCGACGATAATTTTTTTTTACCAATTAGAATTTTTTATTGAAAATAGAATTTAAAGAAATTTTGTATTCAAATTTAATTGATAAAGTAATAATTATTTCCAAATTTTTAATGGACGGTATTTTTTTACCATTTACCATTGATTGAAAATCGAATGTAAAGAAATTTAGTATTTAAATTTATTTATTATTTATATTAAATAATTTATTATTATGGAATAAACAATTTAATTTTCGTATTAAAAAATAATTAATAATTTATATTTTGAGAGGAAGTGAATATTGAATATAAATATTGAAAAATACGTTATTATAATTTTGTAATTATATATAGTGTGTATCATATTGTGTTTAATGATCTGAGGAGATAAATATCAGGAAAAGAATTTTCAGTTACTAGCTTATAAATGCGATAGGTCAGTGAAGAAAAATTGATGTAAGGTAATTATTCTAATTATATATGCGTACTCTGAGGTCAGGACCGTGAAAACTGAAGACAGTATCATCAAATCTAAAAACACGTATCTTCCGAGGTATTTAAAATAGGAGCGAAAGGGAAAGAAAGTATATTTTGCGTCGAAAAGTTTTTTACATTTCTCGAAACCGATGATAATCATGCACGATTGATCTCGCAATTTTTTTTTTTCTTAATTCTTCTATTACTTTTCCATTTCCTAATAGGTCAATTATATCCTCTCGATCTTCCGCATAAATTTTTTTTTTTCTACATTTTAATAATATATTTTATCGGTAATTTGAGGAAAGTTACAATTTTCAATATTTAATTACAAAAAAACTCATAATTTTTCTCGCTATTAATTATTGATTTATATTCAACATAAGGAGAAGTTTATTTAATTTAACATAAATGAGCTTGCAAATTAAATTATATTATTTTATGTAATAGACTAACAGAAAAAAATTAAAGGAAAAGAAAATTAAAGCAGTAATTATTCATAAATGTATAATTTTATTGAACTAATTTTTTCTTGGAAAATATAACAAATATTATACAGACGAGTCAGTGAAAGACAGAAATTGAAAATAAGAACCTATAAACTATTTTATTATGAACATATATTTATATAAATCAAAGTAGTTGATTTTTTTATTTTTCTTTCCTTAAAACCATTTTTCTTGCGCCTTAGATCAATAAACGTAAAAAATAATTTCTACTTACTTTTTATACATAATATAAAATTTATATAAGTAAATAGTTTATAAAGTAAAAAAAAAATGCCAAATGGCCAATAAACATAATCCAAACAAAAAAATAAAAGAAAATCATCATAACAAAAGTTTGGAATAAACAATTTTTTTTTATAAAATATATAGGAATCACAGCATTCTCGCCTAGTCCTATCGTCTGCCTCTTTCGTTTTTTTCTTTATCACTTTTTTCATCGACTTTTATTTTTATCACTTTTTTCCTCATTCTTCTCTCAATTCTTCTTTACTCGAATCACACATAAATTAAATTTTTCATATATTTCTTTGTAATGTAAAGAAAGTGCAATTTTAAATTAAAATTAAAAAATATTTTATTATATGTATATTCATTTAAATAATACTCAATTTCATTTTAATTTAAAAAATAATTATAACTTTTTTTAACGGATAAAGTAATGAATGTAAGAAAGCGAAAAAATATATAACAATGTTTTGAATAATGCGATTAACAATAACGTAGTTTTGACAATTAAAATTCTTGAAAGTTCACAATTACGTGGAAGAGAATTTAAAATATACTTTTTTTTGTGTTTAGAAAATTGTTGTAACTTCTCACGTAATGAAATATTAGTTTTTAGGAGAATTTTTAATTGTTGGGACAGTTGCAGTCGCAAGCGCATGAACGGCGCATTCGTTTGTTGCGTGGATGAGCAGTAAGTTCATCGGGAATTGAACGCACAGAACGTGGCTGGACGTCTAAACAGAGAAAAATTATTTATTAGAAAAATGTGCTGTTAAAATTATATATTATGAAATGAAATTATAATTTTGGGAAATTATATAATAGGGACGATAAATACTAAATTTTTTATTTCCGCACTCAGAAAAAACATATATATTTGACTCAAAATCTATCAAACTGTTTATTTGTCATTAATATTCATTCAAATAAAATTTATTTGTTTCAAATAAATTTTATTTTTTCCGAATATAATTTTTATTTTAAACAAATAAATAATTTAGTAAACTTTAAGACAAATATAATTTTATTTAAATATTATATTATGTTTCAAAAAAAAATTTATTGGTCTTTAATAAATTTTATTTAGTTTATATAAATTTTATTATACAAATAATTTAGTAACCTCTTACATAATAACAGGTACTTTTATTTGTCTGCTCCTTATGTTTCGAAAAAAATTAATTTGTTTCGAATAAATTATATTTTGTTGAAATTTTTCAAATTAAAAATTTATTTTAATATTTGAAATTTTTTCTACTTTAAAAGATAAATTTTCATATTAATTTTTATATAAATTTTGTAATTTTTCATAAATTTTGAATATGTAATAATTTAATTTTTGCAACGAATTTTATCAACAAATTTAAAAATAATTTAATTCCTTCGAAGAATTTAATTATTTATCAAAATAATTGAATTCTTGCAAAGAATTATATTTAAAAAATTTTAAATTAATTGAATTTCTTCGAAAAATTTGATTATTTATAAAAATAATTGAATTCCTTTGAAGAATTGTATTATTTAAGAAAATAATTGAATTTTGGAAAATAATTGTATTATTTAAGAAAATAATTGAATTTTGGCAAAGAATTTTATCAACCAATTTAAAAATAATTGAATTCTTTCGAAGAATTTGATTTATAAAAGTAATTTAATTTTTGCACAGAATTGTATCAATAAATTTGAAAATAATTGAATTCTTACAAAGAATTTTATTAAAAATATTTTAAAATAATTGAATTTCTTTGAAAAATTTTATTATTTATGAAAATAATTGAATTCCTTTGAAGAATTGTATTATTTAAGAAAATAATTGAATTCTGGTAAAGAATTTTATCAACAAATTTAAAAATAATTTAATTCCTTTGAAGAATTTGATTTATGAAAATAATTTAATTCTGGCAAAGAATTTTATCAACAAATTGAAAAATAATTTAATTTCTTCGAAGAATTTGATTTATAAAAATAATTGAATTCTTGCAAAGAATTTTAATAAGAAAATTTTTAAATAATTGTATTTTTTCGGAGAATTTGATTATTTATAAAAATAATTGAATTCTTGCAAAGAATTTTATCAAAAAATTTGAGAAGAATTGAATTTTGTTATTTGTGAATATAATTGATTTTTTGTAAAGAATTTTATCAAAAAATTTGAAAATAATTGAATTCCTTCAAAGAATTGTATTAAAAGTTTTAAAAATCCTAATTAAATTCTTTTGAAAAATTTTATTGAATTTTTCTCAATAAATAGAATTTTTTAAATAATTTTAATTGAAAATTTTGAAAGTAATTGAGTTTAATAAAGAATTTCTTTCAAGTTTTTAAAATTATCGTGTTTGTTAATAATTAAAAATATGATTATTGAATTTTATTAAAATTTTTAGAAAATAATTAATTTCTCCTCAGAATTTTATTACAATTTTTTGAAATATTTTAATTAGTTCAAGGAATTTTCCTAAAATATTGGAAATAATTAAATTCATTCAAATAATAAATATACTATTAACGGTTTTGCAATAATTAATAATAAAATAAATAATTTCACTATTAAATTTTATTAAAACTATTGATAGAGAATTAAATTCTTTTGAAAAATTTCTGTAAGCTTTAAAAAAAAATGAAAATAATTAAATTAAACAAAGTATTTTTAAAATTGTTTTAAATAATTGTGTCTGTTAATAATTAAAAATTTGATTATTGAATTTTATTAAAATTGTATTGAATATAATTGAATTCTTATATTATTTATAGAAACAATTTAATTCTTGCCAAGAATTTTACTATTTACAAAAACAATTGAATTATGTCGAAGAATTAATTTAAATATTAGTAAATAGAAGAGAAATATACTTTTATTTAACTCAAATTATATTTGGTTCAAATAAAATTTTTTTCTGTGTGCGTTATTTATAAAATAACCAAAATTGTTTTCTCACATTTTTTCCGGATAAATTTTACTTACAATGAGGGCGATTTTCTTCTTGCACGTGGTGCAATTTCTGTGGTGGTTGCGCTTGAAGAAGAGGGTGTTCCTGAGGATGTTGTTCTTGTTGTTCATGATTGTGTTGTTCATCATGTTGTTCAGCTCCTTGATTTTCGGTCACCATAGCTCTAGCTTGAACAGGAATGTCAATTGAATCCACTGCTCTTAGAGGTAGAGAAATTCTCGTAACTGGCATTGCACGTCCCTCCACAACCTGTAAATTCGAAGAATTTAGTAATAATCCAATTTATAATAACTTAATTAGTTTATCATTAATCAAATTAGAAAATTTTTTGGATTCGAAACAAATGTGTTAATAGATGAGTATTTTTATCCTTCCACAATTATTCAATAAATTCTTTTTTCCAATGTTATTTTTCATTATCTATTCAATTTTCTATTTACCACAGTATTTTTTCTTTCTCCTTTTATAAATATCTTTCTAAAATCGAAAAAAGAATTTATTAAATGTTTTATTAATTGTTAAACTTGTTTGTTGTTCATTTGTTAACCTACAAATTATTGGGTAATCAGTAAAATCCTAAAAGCGACGTCACTTCTAACCTCTTATTCTCTGATAATTTTCAAGTATTTTGTAATAATTAATTCTACAAATATAAACACTGTTACGAAAAATTTCAGTTTAATATTTTTGTAATGAAAATTAACAATAGGAATAATCCTCTAGGAAATTTGTGGAAGTTTTTGTCTCGACCACGTGGCGTAACAGTCACATGGCGTTCAATTGTTTTTTTTATCAAGATTTTGTGATAGTAGCGCCAAAAAAAAAGTATTAACCTGGTGAATCATACGACGAACATCGCCGGCAGTTGGGAAACTTCGTTCCATTTCTTCTGCATGATCCTCTGGTCCACGGAATGGTTTAGCTTCCGGTTGTTGTTCAGAACTTTCATCATCCCTTGGCGATCTGTCTTCCATACTTCCGTGTTCCAAAAGATTCTTTAATTGAAGCGGAAGTGAAAATGGTCCCAAGGAAATTGCACGAACACCTTCTGGGAAGGGTTTGAATTCTTGTTCTTTCGGCTGTGTTAATTAAAGAAAAAAAGTTTTATTCAGAAGGAAAATAGTTAGAAAACAGAAAGAAAATTTTCCTTTAGTAAATAAAATCGAATTTTATTTTATTATTATTCTTAATTAAACCCACTGCTTGTCTTTAATATTTAATCAAGTATTTAAAGTAACTCGAAAAATATTTATTTAAACATAATTCTTTCTCGTGGAAAGAATGTAAAATTTTTTCCTAAATTAATTCTTTAATTTGAATAATTTTCAGTTTGAAAATACTTTTTAAAATAATTTTAATTTGAAATTTCTTGATCATTTGAATTTATGTTTGTAATTTCTTATCAAATTTTTTGTCTACCTTGACCAAGTTTTTTTTTTATTGAAAAAGAAAAATATTCAACAATACGAATGCAATCAAAATGTCATTAACTTTTAATTGGATAACAATTTTTTTTGCAATATAATAAATGTAATAAACACGTGAATATGAATATAAAATGATTTCTTCTCATGAGCATTGACCTCGACTTTGTAATTATCTACATTACAATCGATATTTAAATCATTAAAAAAATATATTTTTCTCAGAAACTAGAGATAATAATTACAAAATAGAAATAGAATCTTCAGGAGAGAAAAAAAATGGAAAAAAATTCTTTGCTTATCCTTTTGCTCGATTCTCACAGAGTAATTTATCGATAATTCGTTTTCCTGCAACTCATTATATTAAAGATGCCAACAAAGGAGGAAAAAAAAATGATTAGAAATTACTATGTTGATTGCATAAAAGTACAAAGACCTGTTAGATAATAAAATTGTCATTGCTTAGAAATAATAATTTTTAGTTCCATCAATATTGATGGAACTATAAATTTTTATTTTATTTTTCTTTTGCTTTAGTAAACGGAATTTTTTCTTTTACCTCTTGACGAGCTTCCTCGGCAACGGGAACGGGGAAAATTTTCGAATCTCCCATAATATGTTGAATGATATTTTTAATTTCCATTGGAACTTGTTGAACGATTCGACGGATTTCTAATGGAATTCCTTGTAATGGAGATCGTGGTCTTTCTTGTGGAATTTGGGGGTTTCTTTGATCAGGTTGTGGTGGCATCATTTGGGGATTCATTCTGTGCTCTGGCATTTGAGGTTCCTGAGAATTAGAAGGTGGCGGTGGTGGTGGTACCATTGATTCCCCTTGCTCATTGGGATGATACATTGGCGATGGGAAATTCATGGCAATAATGTGTTCTTGGCGTGGTTCTTGTTGGCGCAATGGTCTCATTCCACGCAACGGGAAGTGTCTCAGTTCAATTGGAATTTGTCGCATTTCAATCTAAAAATAAAGAGAATTTTTGTATATTTAGATTTTATTTAACTTTTTCTATCGCAATTTTCAGATAGATCGGATTTATTTTATCAATTTTAAAAAAAATAGAACTCTTTCCATTGATTTGATAAAAATAGAACTCATTCTATTAATTTGGAAAAGATAAAACAAATCTTATCAATTTAAGAAAAAATATTAAATTACATATTAATAACTTCAATTCTAAATTTTTTTAAAATTCAATTATTTTCTAAAATTCCAGTTAGAATTCTTTAAAAATAAAATTATATTTAAAAATAATTTTTAAAAGCAAAAAAATAAAATTTTTTAAAAATTTATTTCAATGAAATTTTACAAAATAAGTTTTGTTAAATAAACATTCAAATACTTATTGTTAATTATCTTTCCACAGGAATTAAACTTTTAAATAATTTTAATATGTAAAATGTTTTGAAATTTTATTATTTCTAAAAAGTAATAAATTAATCATTAATAAATAAATATTTAAATATTATTATACTTTTACAGCAATTAAATTTTGCAAAGATTTTAATAATCTTCTTTAAATTATCAAAATTTTCAAGAAATTCTTTGAGAATTCGATTATTTAAATACAAAAATACAATTTTTTTATTAAAATTGAAACTGTAACTTTTCTTGTTTTCTTTTTAAAAATATTCTTAAAATTAGCTTTTTAAGAATATTTTCAAATAATTTATTGAAAGATAATAGATTTTTCACTAATTTATAATTAAAAAATTGCAACATAATTGAAAGATAGTAAATTTTTTTTGTAAATAATTGCATTTTTGAAAAGGATTTTTCGAAAATATTAAAAAACAATCAAGTTTCAATAGAACAAATATGAAATTACATGATTTCTACGAATTTTTTTATAAGTTTGTAAAAAGTAGATAAAGAAAATAAATCTATTTTTTATAAATTTTAATTTATATTTTTTGAAGATAATTGAATTTAAAAAAATTATGATAAAAAATTCTTTTGAATTAGTTTTTTAAAATATTGTAATGCAATTTTTTTGAAAATAATTCAATTTTGCAAAAGAATTTCTGGATAATTTAAAAGAACTACAGTCAATTTGAAAGCAGAATTTTTTGTAGAATTTAAATGAAAACTTTTGAAAATGATTACTTTTTACATAATTTTAATAATATTTCTAAAGAATTAGATTTTTAAAAATATTTTAAAGAAATTCGAATTTTTTTCTAGAAAAAAATTTCAATTATGTTATGCAAAAGTTTTTTAATTAAATAATATGTATATATATCAATATATTCAATATATCAATATATTCAAAAATCTAATTTCAAAAAGATTCGAACTAAAATTTTTCGAAATGTAACTTCTTTACAATTTTTAAATAAAATTTACTCAAAATTCAAATTTTCAATGATTTTAATTTGAAACCTTTTCAATTATTTCTAAGAATTTTTACTATATCGCTTTTAATAGAGAATTATTTTTCCAAATTTTAACTAAAATTCTTTTTCAAATCAATTCTTATCAAAATTCAACTGCGAGAATGCAATTATTTGAATACAAAAATAATAATTGGTAAAATATTTGATTACTTCTAAAAATTACAACTTGTTTTAAATTTTTTTAATTTTTAACTTTAGAAAGAATAAATTTAAAGATAAATTCAAGTCAATTTCATTGACTGTAGAAATTAGAATAAATTTCATTTTATTTGCAAATCATTTCGTTAATATTTTTAAATTCACCGATTGTGAGTAAAATTGGTCCTTTCTGGTGAAATTCTATAAAATGGAGTTTGAAAATTTTTTCTTACTTGTTCAACAAGGGGATCCTGATGATTCATTGATTGAGCAGGTGGGGACATTCGTGGGGGTTTCATTTCCATATTTATATGAGGTAGATTGCGTAGTTCCGGTGGTAAAACTCCAGCTGGAATGTGATTGAATCCTCTTGGATCACTCAATGGAAGTTGTTGCATATCTGGAACTTGATATTGAGTATGAAGTTGATATTGATGATAACCGGAAGCTGGTTCCTGGGGTTGAACGGGAATTTGAACTGTTCCCAAAGGCACGATGATTGGTGTCATCATTTCTTGGTCTTGTTGTCTGAAAGAAAATTAAATTTCGATTATCTCTACAAATCTATTAAATCTATTCAGATTACTATTAATTAATAATTAATATTAATCACTCAATACTAATTAAAATCACTGTTCATTTAATAGGAGCAAATTGCAACGAATTGATGCCAAAAATGTGGATCAAATAAAAAATTGGTCCAAATTTTTGGCATCAAAGAGAAGAAGAACTAATTTAAATTAAACTAATTTAGAAGAACTAATTTTCGTTTCATTCAACGATAGTTAACTCACTCTTGTTGTGGATTTCCGGCTTCGCAGAGAATGGAGACGCGTTCTCCGCTGACTCGCTGGAATCTTTGAGGATCGGTACTATTGTCAATAGTGTTATCTCCGTCCATTACTTCGTCAGCTCTGCGACGCTCGACGACGCAAGAAACTCGACTGCGAGCTTGTCGGATGAGACTCTGTAAATTTTACGAAGAATAAAATCAACTGATTTAAATTTGAATTTTAAATCACTTTCAAGGTCTTTCCTTTTTTTAAAAGAAACATTTTTTTTTATTAAAGCATTTAAGAAACCGTTAGATTTCTGAAACGCTTTAATAAAAAAATCTTTTAATAGAATTTAGAAAAAAACTTACGCCTGCAATGTCGTCAAGATCGAGTTGAAGAGGAAGTTTTATATGAACTGGAGGCAGTTCATCGTCATCGTAATCATCATCCTCATCATCATTATCCTGATCTCCATTATCGTTATCATTCTTCAAACTATTCTCATTTTGTCTCTGAGCTCGAACTTCCTTTATCTCAGATTCAGCTTCCTTTTTCGCTGACGTCGACGCCGAGAGAGTTTGTAAATTATTTATATCAGCAGGATCCTAAAACAGAAGAAAAAAAAACATTAAATTAAAAAAAATATTCCAGAGAAAGAGAGAAACAAATGTTTAATGAATTTAAAAAAATCTTTCTACAATTTGTTCCAGTCGTTTAGTTATCTTGTTAATAAACAACAAAAACTATTTATTCGAAAGTTTTATTTTTTGAAAAAAGTTATTATATACTTTCACTGTGATATTGTAACCGTGAAAATTGTCTCCGCACTATTCCACTGTCTTTTCTTAAATATTTAACGAATCAAGCCTAATGAGTTTCAATTTGCAGAAAAACAAGTATCAAGTTCAGCAGTGTTATTTCAACAAAAGAGAAACTTGAGAAAGTGTCAACTATAGTCATTGCAGTTTGAGATCTGTCGATTGAACATTATTGAAATAATTGTCATGCAAAAGAGAAAAAAAGCAAGAATTTTACCAATTTTTTTTTGAGGAAAAAATAATAAAAGTTTCTCCTCGATATTTTGTTTCAATTTTTTACTCATTTAATATTTATGATGAAAAATTTTCTTTGCAAATAAAACAAAAATAAAATTTTTTTTCTAAATTGAAATTTGATAAAATAAAAAAATTTTAATTTTGATAATTTCGAGATAAGAGTAAATTGTCCTAAAGAATTATATTCATTAGATTGGGAATTTTCACCGGTTGTGCAGTTTAAATAAACTTGCATGAGTCTTGGTGCTTTTCACATAAGATTGTTAAAAGTTCACTTTCACTATCGACCCGATGTCGCGAATATAGGAAGACGTTGTTTCGATTACCAATATACACGACACGACAAAGTTAGCAATATTCAAGATACGTTTCCTGTGAAATTTCTGATAACTTTCATTATTCTAACGCTCGATGAATTTCAATTATTCAAACTTCAAAGTGAAATGCTTGATTCAAATATTCGACACAATTGACACAAATAAACAAAACGAATTAAAATTTTAATTTCTAATTAGAAAATTAATAATATTTTTTAGCCTCTTATATAATAAAATTATTATTTTATATTATTTTCTTTATTACATAATAATGGATTAGATGCTTATTTATTAGTGAAGTAATTTTGGTTTAAATCTCGCAAGGTTTTTTTTCAATTACGCTCTCTTGTAAGGATAGAAACAATTTTGCTCTCGAAATAAATTATGCAATTTCTTCTCCTGGTTTCGTTTGAGAAAAACTACCTATTACATTCTCTCTTGGAATAAAAATGAATATAATTTTTTTTCCATAAAAGTTTATTCATTTTTTTTTTTGTGGAAAAAGAAAGAAAATAAATTTTATTTAAAAAAGAAAAAGCCTTCTCCATGAGGAACCAAAAAGAATATATTTAAAAATTTCAGCAAAAATGTATGATTACTTTTTATGAGGAGAGAAAATTCACGAGAACATTCACCTCTTCTTGGTGCGTGTAAAAAGGCACAGACATTATGCGTGTAAATTTACATGCTTGGAATAATAATTTTCATTAATGAAAATAGAAAATAGAAACAAATATATCACACGTGACGAGATTTTTTTTTCTATACCTTAATTATATGATATATATACGCTTTAACTGTAAATTATTTTTATTTCCCTTCAATGAGACTTTCACCATATTAAACATTTTATGATTGGCAGTTACTGCTGATGATATATAAAGTTTCTTCGAATCTTCTACTTTTGCTTCAATCATTTGAAAAAGGTTAGTCGAGAATTGTGACTTGTGATTTCTAATAATAATAATCTTCCTATTTATTGAAACTTGAAAGTGGATGAATAAATTTTTAGTTCTAAATTTCTTCAATTCTTCAATTAATTTAAAGAAAAAAAAAATGAAATTCCAAAACGTAAAAATATAACATCTAAGTCGACTGTTTTTGTCATTTAGAATTTGTCAACATTCCTTATATTGCAAATTGATTACGTTTGGGAGAAAATAGTCTCTCTCTCTCTCACTACAGGAGATATTTCCGTAGTGTTGCTAGTTTTATTATTTCATCACACTTGTCATTGCTTCACAAACTTTACACGTTTCCTCTCTTGTCGAATTATTATAATTTCAATGAAAATTTTTCGAATTTTATTGTTAAAATACTCATTGTCAATACGTAGCTATTATTTTCTAACTAAACACAAAAAAACATTTTTTATGCGATTAATATTTTAGATCATAAATTGGATAATTAAAAAAATTTACAGTAAAGTGTGAATAAATTAATTTGATAATTAATTTTCATTTAGAAATTTAAACAGTTAGAGGAAGCAAAAAAAAAACATTGTAAGAAATTTCTTTTTCATTAAAACTTGTCATCAGGATTATAATTATGGTCCGTTGCGCTCTAATTATCTAATATTGTCCACTAATTAATGACAAGATTTATCTTAACGCACATTAACTTTTTTTAATCTTATGTATGCTCAACTATCGTAATAATAATGTTATGAAAAAGTTCTATCATCGATTTTTTTTGCACAATGAAAAAAAACAAGAAAATAATACACTTTAGAGTAGAACAAAAGAATTATGATAATTAAAAATTTTTGAACGTACAATTAGTTCTATTTTCTCAAGAAAAAAAAAATTCTTTTTAAAATAACAATTATTTGTCGAATGGAGAAAAAAATAATTTTCTTTACAATGACTAAACTATTAGGCGTTTGTTTGAAAATTGTCCATTTAAGATTTTTTTGACAATTATGGAAAGTTATTTTTGTCCTTATGTTTTATTTTTATATTTATATTTTATTTTTTTAATTATGTATTTTCTCCTAATTCAAAATTTATTTTTTCCTCTATTTTTCAACTAACTCATTAAATTTGCTGATAATTCAAAATAATTTACGGAATTACACTGATATAATAGAAAAAAATCCAAGACCTTCTAATTTTTTATGATAATGTAAGAAATTAAATTTAATGGAACCAGTGAATTATTGTTATTTTTATAGTTGATGTAAAATGGTTTTTGGGGAATTTCTGTTTGGAATTATCCATTCAATTGCGATTTGTAAGCTGAATTATGTAATATTTGTTTTATTGTGAGCGGTTATCCTTGAGCACAGCCTGATACCATAACGGTTTCCTTTTTTAGAAAAAAAATACTTAATTCCTGCCTGATTGTTTAGTTTTATCCTCATAGTGAACATTAATCAAAACACTGAATCGTGAGAGATTCTCTTCATAACTAGTTAACATACAAAAGAATTCGATCATCTATTTTATTCGCCAGAGAGCAAACTAAACTGATAGATCAAAGAAGGAATAATAATTTCCGTAAAAAATAACAACAGAATTATTGTGTACAGGCGAAAATTATTTTTTTGAAGTAGAAAAAGAAAATCATAAAAGGTAGAAATTTCATTTCCAGAGATGAAAATTTACTAAATTTTTGTTCAAAATCGTTTCAAAGCGAATTTATTAAATATTTATTAAATTTCGAAAATTTCCCCAAGTTTTGAAAGTTCAAATGAAAAATATATTTTTCGTTAAAAATATTTTCGTAAATAGCGAATAAATTATTAAATATTTTAGAACTTTAAATTTCGAAAATTTCCCCAAGCTTCAAAAATTCAAATGATCAAATATATTTTTTAATAAACATATTTTCGTAAATTACTGATTGGAATAAAAATTCAAAACATAAATTTTACATTAGAAATTTTTTAATTCACTTTTTTTGATACTGACGCAAAATTATTGTAATAAAAATTAAATTTGAAGATAAAAAATAATATATTTCGTTCATTTGAATGTCAAAAATTTTAGGATCTTCTCTTTTTTAAATTTAGAAACATTTATGAGGTAAAAAATTAATGGGAGAGAATATTTTGATTATATTTACCTGAATGAGAGCTGCAGGTTGAAGATTTTTCAAAAATTCCCCTTGATGGGAATTATAATTTTTTTCATGCAATTTTTGAAAATGTAAAGTGGCTTGCATGGCTGCTATGGATTCTGGAGTGCATGATGCTCGTGCCTGAATCCATGATGATGCGAGAATAAAACTTCCCAATAGTACTGTCATAGAAATTAACGTGATCGCAGCAATCCTCGCAATTTGCACTGCCGTTGTTTTTCCAGGCCTTATGTATGCCTAAAAGAATAAATTTCTTATTAAGTATACAATATTATGAAAACAATTTTAAATACAATTTTTAATTCGATTTTAAATACAATTTTAAATTCTATTTTAAATACAAATTTCAAATTTACAATATACAATAATAAACGTATTGAATATATTAATCAGACCTATTAATCGACGATTTTCCAAAAAAAAATATAGTGAAAGTAGAAAAATCGGATAAAATTAAAAAATGGTTACAAATTTTATTTTTGAAATTAAGATGAATTCATTATAGAAAATTAACATTTCCGTCTTGCATAATATTTGAACGTAAAGCAAAGAGTATTTCCCTTTCGCTGAAATGCTTTTTTGATAAAAATTTATAAACCGTTATATATACACAAGAAGCAAAGAAGGACTTATGGAAATTGATAGAATGACTTCCTAAATGATCTCATTTTGCTCTTTGCATGCGAATTTAGTGAAATATATTTATCTCGTCTCGTGAGCCGTCACGTTTCTCTATTTTCAATATACCGGAATTAATTTTTCACGCATTTTTGAGCGCATTGGATTTTCACTTTGTACATTATATAGTGAATAATTATATACCATTATTCAGTGGATGTGATGCAAATCTGTATTTGATTCACGATCAAAGGATGTTAACTGAATTTAACAAAAGACTTCGACTATAGTGAAAGTTTTTAAAATAGAAAATAAAACGTAATATTTTTTTGGAAAACTTAATTACAAATCATTTTAAATAATTTAATAATTTAAAAAAAACGTACATAAAAAATTTTGCTTTCCCAAGAATTTTTACCGTAATAAATAATTTATGAAAATATTTTTAATAAAAAAAAATATTTAAACTTGTCGAATTTTTTTGAATTAATTTTTAATTTAATAAAATCGGATATTTTAAAAAATGGACTTTGATAACATTTTCATTTTTTGAAATTAAAAAAAAATATATTGAGTCTCCGAAAAAAATTTTGTTTTTGTATATTTTGGTTCGAAAAAATTTTTTAAAAAAAATCGAACGAAAAATGTTGATATAAAATTTATTTTCTTTGAGTTTAATCTAAATGAAAAGTGAATGTAGATATAAAATTTTATTTCAATATAATTCTTTTGCTGTGCATGCTTCCTTCAGTGTATTTTATTTCTGATTCATGCATGAGAGTTCACAATCATTTTAATAAGAGTGAAAACGTGTTGTAAAACAATTTTAATTCTGATACGAACATACTTTCTTTAGAAAAAAAAACAATGGTAATATTGTTGAAATATTCCAATCAGTGTAGAACGTGATTTTTGCAAAATCAAGATCATGAAAAATATTTTCAAAATATTTAATTTTATTTAACTAAACTTTTGTTTTATTTTCATTTTACAATTTTATTTTTTCACAATACGGAAATAAGGAGAAAAATAATTTTTAATAATTCAAATAGTAATAAAATTGAGTAAGTTATTTCTCATAATTTAATTTAATTGAAATTTAACGTGATTTTCAAAGAAAACAATAAGTAAGAATAATTTTTTTTTATAAAATATAAAAATTTAAAAATAAAAACATCGCTCTGGAATCGTCTTTGTGACTTTCAGATTTTCAATTTTCACTTTTCTATTTCTCGCACGAATAAATAAAGATATTTTAACAAAAGAATATATATGAATTTCATCAGTGATAAAATTTTCCAGTCGACATGTTCTACTTGAGAAAATTATAATAATTATTTTACTGAAAAATCGAAATAAACAAAATTTCGAGAGGTCTTTGCAATTAAATGAAAAGTAAACAAAAAAAAAGATCATCTTAATAATTTTTTTTTGTGGAAGACAATGATAATAATAATAATAATGTTTCGCCTCCTGACTTTAGAAATTGTAGACTAGTAGGTGTTGTAAAAATGTAAATAGTCTTTACGCAAAATCATTCTCACGCTATTGAGGGGATCTTGAGTTTAATTACATTGTTATCTCATCAGTCATTCAACACAAATAGAAATAATACTTTAGCGTAGAAACAATATGATTCTACAGAAATCAGAAACTGGAATATGTGCGAAAAAAAAAGTATTACTTAGTATTGAAACGCTCTAACAGTACCTTGACATTATTAATCGCGGGTGACAACCTCGTGTTAATCATTGAAAAGTTATTGAACGTCCTCGATTGATTTCGAAAAATTTATCACTATGAGGAAGAAAAAACAAAAAAACAAATTTCGTTCATATTTTTTTTTGTTTCCGATTTTTAAAATCTAATTAACTTGTTTTCTTTTCTGTCAAGGGAAATTTTTATGTTTAACAGTAATTCTTTTTTAATTAACAGTGAGATGTGGAAAAAAGTAAAAAAAAAATAAAAACTACACAGATAAAGAAAATATTGTTTTATTTTTTTAATTGTTATGTAAATTTATGCAAATTTTTTCCATAAACTTGGCTTTTCGAACATCTCTGAGGTTTTCAGTACCAAAGAAAGGTAAAAGCGTGGGTACGCATAATAATAAAATAAAGACTTGAAAAAATCATTTATGACTTATTCTCGTGAAAGGAAGTTTCAAACATAAAAAATTATTATACTTCGTCTTAGCCAAAAGACTAAAATTATTATTGCAAATTTATTCAAAAGTTGGCAAACTTTTTTTATATTAAATAAATGATCCTCAAGTTTTGAACGAAATATTTTCCTTCAATTCTGATTGTAATAAAAATTAAAAACCTAAATTAACAATTTAGAAACTTTGTAATTAATTTTTTTTAAACTTGTCACAAAATTATTGTAATAAAAATTTAATTTGAAGAACAAATAAATTTCGTTCAAATGAGCGTTTAGAACTTAGGGAACATTTGAATAATTAAAAATATTGTCGATTTTAATTATAGAGAGCGATCAAACTTTAACTTCTCAACTAATTAAATAAATTAAATAAATTAAATAAATAAAATGATACGAAATTATTTGGAAAAATTCACCGAAACTATAATAGAATTTTAAAAATATATTCCTTTGTCATGAATGTCTTTTTACTAATTAAAACTGTCATTATACGTGAAATTAGAATTATTTCACATTTCACTATTAATAGTTGAAACTATACTATTGTTTGGAAAAGAAAAATGAAGTAATTTTATTTATATCTTAACTCAACATGAAATGAATCGTGTAATGAAACCTATTTCAGACTGCAATTAAAATTAGCAGCCAACAATGACGTGATCTGAAGAAGACGCGAAAATAATTGAATCAAGTTAATTAGACTTTTCAAAGTGTTATTTCTAAAAAATAATTACTGCATAATTTTAGTAATTATACGAAGTATTGCAATTTAATCAAATTCGAGAGTCTATTATTTTTTTCACAGATCAATAGTTTCGTTTCGAAATTTTTTTTACCAAATTCCAAAATTTAATTTTATTAAAAGAAATATTTTCATAATTTTAGTGTTTAAAAAAAAACTATATTTTACTCTCTTTGTTTAGAAATTTGTTTCTAAATTTTAATTCTGAAATTTGTTTCTAGGTTTTGATCCAGAAATTCGTTTCTAAAATTTTAATTTAGAAATTTGTTTTTAAATTTTTATTTAGAAATTTATTTTCAAATTTTGATCTAGAAATTCGTTTCTAAATTTTGATATAGAAATTTGTTTCTAAATTTTTATCGAGAAATTCGTTTCTAAATTTTGATATAGAAATTTGCTTCTAAATTTTGATCTAGAGATTTACCTTCAAATTTTGATGTAGAAATTCGTTTCTAAATTTTGATTTAGAAATTTGTTTCTTAATTTTGATCTAGAAATTCATTTCTAAATTTTGATCTAGAAATTTATTTCCAAATTTTTATCGAGAAATTCGTTTCTAAATTTTGATCTAGAAATTTGCGTTTGAATTTCGATCTAGATAAAATTGTTAATGCATTAAAACAATTGTGAATTGTTTGAACATTAAAATTAAATTGTAAACTTGTTAATGACGAATTACTGTTGGCAATGATTTACAAGTAACTTTTCTAGATTTTTAGAGTGAAATTTATCTTCTAAAATGAGAAACTGAATTTAAATTTTGATCAATGAAATAATTTTTTTTCTTTGTGCTTCCTTGGTAATTGAACAACTTGCATGAGATGCTGTACAAAGATTCTTAATGACCTCGATGTGGATGAACAACTCCCAGGTGAGAGGCCTCCATAGTAGGTCATCCAAGTCGGAGTTTGTTCACCAACTGACAAAAGTTTAACAGACACTATGCACATTTGCTACTATACAAAATGTCGGTATTAAAAAAAAGCAGTATATCAACTCTAGCAGAACTGTCAATTTTGTTTCTTTTTTCCTTTATCTGCCGAAGACATATTCTTTAACTGTAGTTGTCATTGTCTAGACTAATTTATAGTCCTCTGCAATCTTTCATAAAAACTTCTTTTCATCTTCGAAAAAAGCAGCCTTCAAGCATAATGAATTTTATTTTTGATCTGTGAAAAAAAATTTGTTTTTTTCATTACTCAATTTTTTTTAACAATTTTTTTTCTTCAACAAATCCCCATGTAAATCAAAATTAGATTTAATTAAATTTCGAAAATGATAAAAATTGCGAAATTATTCCAAAGAATGAAATAATTAATGTTTAGATATTATAATTATTCTGTTCAATTAAATTTCACTGGAAATTATTCGGATTTAAATTACTTGAAATTATACTTGAAAAAGAAAGAAGAAATGTAAAAAAATTTATTGCTCCATTGATCGAGATTTAAATTAAAATTTTTCATTCTACTTGAGAAAAGTCTTGTAAAGCATTATCATAAATCGTGAAGTATACGAGAAAGTTTCTTCTCTTAAAATGTTCACAATATAAAAATTTTATAATAATCAATTAATAATTTATAATAATTAATGCGATAAAATTAGTCATATAGAAAATTCAATAACTAATGGGGAAAAAAACTTCAGAGTAAACAAATAGTAAAACGAATTTAAAATAAAATCGAAAAAATAAAGTCTAAATAATTATAATAAATTTCAATAAATTGATTCTAAATAAATCAGAAAATAGTGAATTTGAAACAGTATCTAGAAAACTTTTTGCTGCTCTAGTCGTTTAATAGTTCGGGCGTTAAAGTCTCTCGAGACTTCATTGCGTCTATCTCTATATTTAAGATTATTTCACCGAAAAAAATAGGTAGTTTAATGTTCTCTATAATTTGAGTTTTCATAAAAGTATGCAATTGTATTATTGTAACATTTTTGTGGGAAAAAATACTCAAAATTATAGACAATGGACAGAGTAGTTTAAGAATATTTTTCTTCAATAAAAAATAAAATAAAAATTAGAAAATTCAATTTCTACTAGTGATCTAATTTTTTAAATCAAGATTCTCTTTCGAAAGCTTAGATCTTTGCAATTTAAATTAAATTCTCCAAGGCACTTGCAAGAATAGCTCTTGCGTCATCATATATATTGAAGACTACTTTTGTAAGTCGACTTTTGCAAGACATTCTCAGATATATTTTTCATCTCAAATATGAGAAATGGAATTTTCCATTTTTTATTCAATATTTAATTTTTCTTCATTTCTTTCGAATATTAATTTTATTGACTATTCGTTTAATTATTAAAATATAATTATAATTATTTCTTAATGAAATGATAATTGTTAATAATTATTTCATAATTAAATAATAATAATTTATAATGAATAACAAAAATTGAAAAAAAAGATTGCATTCAATTAATACTATTATTTTAGTTCAATTATCATTTTATTATCTTATTTTATTTTATATTTTATCACCTTAAAAGAATATTTATATCAAAAAATGCAATAAATGAAATTTATTATTTAAATGAAAAAAAAGAATCCATTAGAAACGCAAATTATTGTTTTCACATTAATCGAAGTGTTACTTTCCGTCTAAAAATTATTTCTGCGTACAATTTGCTCTGGTTCAACAGATACTATTATGTCTTCGTGACTTGTAATCATATATATTTTTTATCGTCAGTTTAAGCGACAGAAAAGAATGTATTTCCTTGTTTTCACTAAGTAAAGAAAGTCTAGTGGTTAAAAAAAAAGAAAAAATTTCTAGTCCTAGTGCGAATATAATCGAATGGTCCATTTATTACGGCAATGGACACTTTTGTGAAAGTTTACAATTTTAAATTTTTGATTTAGAAAAGAATTGAAATTTCTTAAAAACATTTTGAAATCTTTTTTTTTTTATGAAAAATGATCCACAAATATCCAAATATTTTTATGAATTTCTGATTGTAATAAAAATTAAGAACTTAAATTTTACATTCAAAAAGATTGTAATTAATTTTTTTTTTTAGTTTTGAAGAAAAAATAAATAAATTTTAGTTCCTTTTAAACAAAAAATAAACAGACTAGAATAATAATTATTCATTTAATAAATAAGTAAATATTTGAGTTAAAATCGTAATATTAAAATTTCCATTTTAAAAAAATTTTTATTTTTGTAATTTTTTTTTATTATTGTAATTTTATGTTAAGTTTCAGTATTTTTCTTAGGGGTCAAGCACCTTAACAAATGATGAATGCACGATATCGACGTTAACACTTTCTAATATTGACATGCAATCATTTTAAACAATTTTTTTTCTGCATACGTAATGTATTGTTTCCATTTTCGAAAATCGTATGGAAATATTCTACAATATCAATAAATATTAAGTTGAGTCACTATTTACTATTCAGTAAACAATCACCTGACTTTAAAATTATTTTTAAAATAACTAAACTTTTTGTTAAACCTTGAAAAAGTCGAAATAGTATTTAATTGTAATGATTAAATAATATTTAATTATTAAAAACTCTTCACAAAGAACTTGGTATTGAGGTCAATGTAAAATAAAAAATATTAATTTTTTGTATACGAACATAAATTATTCATAATAAATTTTATAAGTAAATATTTGAGATATTATTATTATTATTATTATATTATTATCTCAACAATTTATCTTGTAAAGTTTAATGAAAAGTTTTCAATACTCAATTAATATAAGTAATGATGATTTTTACAAAAATTGGTATTACACAAACTGCTAATTGCAGACAATTAAAAATTTTAAGCATTCACCGATTTTAGAAAAATGATTAGCTAACAATGTTAAGTAAAAATTAAAACAAATATAAATTTTACCAGATCTCATTGTTAAATAACGAAAACCCTGACATCGTTTTTGCAGAGAATAAGTAATAAAAAATAAGGCTACAAAAAAAGGTTCAAAAAGTAGAAACTGGAAAAATAAAAAAACACTAAAATGACAACAATAAAATTTAAAAATTGGCAATAAAGATGTTTATCTTAAGTAACTTTGTATTTATAGCGCTAATAATTTTAAGTCATACAAAAATGGAAACAATCAACCCACAACTTAATGTATTATTATTAATTTAATACGTTATTTTTTAGTCAATTAAATTATTAATTTAATATATTATTTTTCTATCAATTATTATTTTAAAAAAAAATATAATTGCCTCGAACAATTAATAAATTTAATAAGTCTACACTTATTAAAGAACAATTTAGATACTAATTAGAGATCAAGTTTAATAAAATTGACAGCTACAAATTATCGTTTCACAAAATTGACAAAAGGAAATGTACAATATATATGTAAAGGAAAGTGAAGTCTTTTTTTCAATAGTATAAAAAAAAATAATGACAGTTCATTTTTGTTGAACAATTCTAGTTCAATGGTGAAAGTTAGTACTAATAATTTTGTCGTCGACCAAATCTTCCATTTTAAATGGGTTGCGCACACGTCGAAAGTGTGTTGTATGTAATTAAATTTCTTATCACTAAATGCGATAGGAAATTTCAAATTCTAATGAAATTAGCACTCATTGAAATTTATTGACTACTTTTAATTGAATTCAATTGCAAAATTTATTGAAATGAAAAGTAAATGAAAAGAATTTCAATTTTAAGTGGGAAAAAATTTTCGTAGAACAATTATTCAATAAGCTTCTTTTTTTTTACTTGACTAATATTTATGAATATTTTTTTTCGAAATTATTAAAAATATTGAAATAGTTACACAATACTTGAATAATTCTTTTACCATCTACTAAACGAACAATTACAACCGGTAATTGTTCTTTCCTTCTGTAATACGTAATCTTCCAATTTACGTAAGTTTCTATATAAATTTTACATTTCTTTGAGGGCACTTCATTACATTATGTAAATCGTTTATATAAATTTATAATTAAAAGCGCGTAAATTGTAAAATATTTTAAAAACTAATAATTTTGCATCAAGTTTATTGCCTCTTAAATTATTCGGTATTTCTATTGCCATTTCTTAAATTTTATTAAACCATTGAACTTTTCTTTCTGATTATTCATTTTTCAAAATTAAATTTTAATAGTAGTAATAATAATAAAAAATAAAAGAAAAAATAATAAAAATAAAAGAAATAATAATAAAGATAATAAAAATAGTAATAAAGAAAAATAATAATAATAATAATAATAATAATAATAATAATAATAATAATAATAATAATAAAAACAATAAAAAATAATGATACTAATAATAAATAATAAAAGCGAATTATTTTTCAATTTGATATTTTTAAACAAAAAATACAAAAAAATACAAAACTACTTTTTTTTGAAAAAATAAATTTTCCTACATCTTTTGCAAGATGTTTACTTTCAAAAAGCTTTCATTTCCCTCTATAAGGATTAATCTCAATTTTAAATCACTGCTTTCGCATAATTATACCTATAAGATTTCTCGATATGCAGTTAAAGTTTTTTTTTTAATCTTCAATTGAACACGAATAATCAGCTTGACGTTAATACACACATTAAGCTTATGTGTTGTTTACATTGTCATTCAATCGGCTAGGATTTCTTTTTCCAATTTATTAATAAAGTATTTCTGAAAAATTGTGAAATGCTTTTTTTTACACTATCTTTTAATGACAGTCATAAATAGTTAAAGAACGGCACTTGTTACTTGAAACTTAGCTAAGTATTCCGGTCAGTGACCGGAATTGTTTCTCAATTTCCACGAAAGAAAGAGTAGCTACCATTATTATTCTTTTAACTCTGTATACACAAACTAATTCTTTTAATTATATAATTGTTTATGATTAAAACACGATTAAGGGCATTTTAGAGGAATAGTTAAATTTTGTGTCTAGTTTTTATTTATTTCGGTATTTTAGTTTTTAGTGTTTAGTACTTTAGTATTTCGGTATTATAGTTTTAGTACTTTAATACTTTAGTAATTCAGTATAAAGTAAAATCTAAAATGAATAACTTAAAAAAAATTAAAACAAATCGAGAGTAAAATAAATACTTTTTTCTTCGGAGAAAGCAAAGAACGAATTTATTATTAAAGAAAAAAAAAAGTTAATTAACCAATAATATGACAAAGAAAAAAAAATACATTGCATTATAATTTTGTCTGAAAATTTCAAGTTCTTCTTTTTCTTCTTTGTAATTATTCATGCATGAATAATATTGTTGTCTTACCGGAGGTGGTTCAGTCGTGGAATAAACTTCACTTGGCGCATAATGGCTCGTGGGTGAAATTTTTTCTGATCCCACGGCGACAGTTGCCAAAGAATCCGGCTGGTCCTTCTCCATCCTCACGGAAGAGATTCACCGAACTGAGATTAAGAATGAAAAAAAAATGTAACTTCAGTATCCAAATGATATTGATTTAATTGTTAAATTAATTTTTTAAAAATTTTTGTTTACGAAAGATTGAGTCCGTTTCTTTCTTTTTTTTTGTATATGATCGAAAAAATTAATGAAGTTGATTGCCCGACGATTGAACGAGCAGTGAGTGGAGATTGAAACCAGGAACCGCTAGCTTAGAGAGATCCCCTCCTGGTACCACTCCTGAAGGTAACCCTTTTGCGGCTCTGAACTTTCTAAACAGCGCCATTGCTTCTCAACTTGGCTCACAGCTACTCGTGAAAATGTGTTTAGTTTTAGAATTTTTTGTCCAGTGGTTCTAAATTTCCGGATACTGGAAAAAATTGATAATATTTAGGAAATTGGTTTAAAAAGCAGAATCTTAAAAGTATTTTAGAGAAAAGAAATTTTTTTTTAGAATTCACAAGGTACCAAAGACTTTAATTTAGAATATAGTAAACAAAATGTTAATAAAAATCATAATTTTATTGTCGTGTACTTTTTAATTTATTTATAAAAAGAAAGTTAATAAAAACAGAAAATCATAATAAAATATCGTCTACCAAAAATTTAATTTCGAATTTATAGTTAATAGACAAAGTTAATCGAGAATCACAATAAAATCCCAACTAATTAAAAAGCAAAAAACTCCCAACTACAAATTATACTTAAAAGCCGACAATTTTTTCTTCGGTACTAAAAAAAGAGATGAAGTAAAAAAGTAGTAAGAAAGAAAAATGTTTTAAAAAAGTAAAAGTAAGCGATTAAAGGATCATGTCCCAGTAGCACTTGGTAATTTTCTATAAATCGATTTACAAATGTCATAAACATAATTTCTTTTCTCTTTTTTTTTATTGTACTGTATGAATAATAAGTATACCTTGTGTCTATGCATAAATTAAGTTGTATTATAGGTGATACAAAAAAATAAAAAAAAAAAACATTATCGAGAGCTGAGAAATCGGAAGATGTTTACTCAGAGTCATCCTATTGAAGCAAACGACCTGAAACTGCTAATCACGTTTGAAGACTCCTCTCACTTGAATATGTTCTCCTGAATCGAATAATAAACATATATGCATATAAAAGATGACTTGAAAATTAAAGTAAAGTTTTCAGGTCAGACACAGGTCATACATACATGAGTTGACCAACATTTTACCACTTTCTACAAAATTCAATATATATTAATAATTATAATAATATTAGAGTATAATGAAAGTGATTGTAAACTAACATTTACCACCAAAAACATGTTAAACAAACTGTTAAACTGTTAAACATACAAAAATTAGTTTCAAATAATAATAATCATATATACTTATTTTCATTTCATCTTATTTATTTACTTTTGTCGAATTTTTCAGAAAAAGAAATTATAAATATTTAAATTAATTTTAATGAAATAAATTCAAGTATTCATATTAAGTAAAACACATAATTACGTTTATTATTCTAATTAACTATTATTCTAATTAACAAATTATTAGACTAATTAACTATTATTCTAATTATTACATTAATTTCTTTATAATTTCAAATGTAATTATTTAGCTATAAATTCTTGAACGGAATAATAAGCTTTTAAATGTACTTTTAATTCTGGAAATTCAACATTTTTTATTAGAGAAACAAAATTTTTCAACTTATCGCGTATATGAGACATAATTCAAGAGAGAAATTAAACAATTGTTTTGATTTTTCTTTCTTTTAAATAATAGTAACATGCAGTTTCAGATCGTTATTGTAATCTCCTCATTCGCGTTCCATCTGAAAAATCAAAACTTTGAATTAGAAAATATTATTTACAAAAATTGGGAATATTATTCCCCGTAAAATAAAAAATTACAACCAGAAAAAATTGTTTACTCAGAGCGAAATAAACTTTTATTTGTTTCAAATAAATTTTATTTGGATCTAATAAAATTTTATTTGGAAAATCTATATTTTCTTTGTCTCCTAACTTTTTAAATAATTTTTCTTCTTAAATGCTTTAAATTTTAAAATTAATGTATTGAAAATCATTCAATTCTTGCAAAGTATTTATGAAAACATTCGTTTGAAGGATTTTGTCAAAATTTTTGAATTTTTTTGAAAAATTTTATTAAAGTTGTTTAAAACTAATTGAATTCTAGCAAAGAATTTTATTATTCATGAAAATAATTGAATTCTTCCAAAGAATGTTATTCAAATTTTTGAAGACAATTTAATTCTTGTCAAGAATTTTATTAGAATTTTTGAAAATAATTGAATTGTTTTGAAGAATTTATTTGAATTATAAAAAGAATTTAAAAAATTGAATTTTAAATATCACAACAAGTATTTAATATTCAAAAATAATTAACAAAATTTAGAAATAAATAAATATTTTAACAGATACCTAATTTGAATAGTAAAGAAAAATTTAATAGATTTTTAGTGTTTATTCTTAAAATTCAATTTAAATAATTTTTTTTGTTTTGTTTGTAAAATACTTTCAAAAGTAAAGAAAATTTTTTTCCACTGAATTGGAAATAAATATGAAACATTTGAAGAGAAATTGTCATGATCATAAGCTATATTTTAAATTGAATGTCTTGTGAATCTTGTTCTGGGCTCAGCTTTCGCTATTTAAAGGGATTATATGGTATTGCTTGGAGAACTTCCGTACATTGAAAGAGATGTGTTTTTATACGATTGTAAGTTCATATATATATATAAAGTAATAGAGAAAGTGTCTCAAGTTGTACCTATTTTATCTTTTATAATAGTTATGTATTTAAATTGTTCAATTAGACAGATTTAAAAATTGTAAATGTTTTGGATTTAATTCCCTTGGGAATGAAAAATATTGACTAATCATTTAAATTAATTTTCACATTTAATTTAATTTAATTTAATGAAAATTGAAATATGTATTAATTAAATATATTAAATATATTGAATATATCAATTAAATATACTAAATATATCAATTAAATGTATTAAATATTTAAATTAAATAGAAAAGTTATCAATTTAAATAAATCATTATCTAAAAGTAGAGTATAATTAATTATAATTAGATACATTTGTATTTAACTATAATTAAAATTATATTAAATTATTGAAGATATTGAAAAAAATTAATTGTAGTTAATTTTCTCCAATAAAAATTTAGTTCAATGACAAAAGAAAATTTCGATGATCTTTAAATAAATATACAGATTAACAGTTACTTTCTTTCACGAATTCTATTAAATATAATATTTTTTAAAAATTTTGATTGAAAATTGAATTATAGAGAAGTATAAATTATTTGTAATCTAAACATCTGATAAATGGTTCAATAATAATACACTATAGTATATCGAGAGGATGAACCTCGAAAGATTTCACCTTAGTGGGAGTAATCTTTAACTATAGGATAGAATGTAATTTTCTTCCTCTATAGAAAACGAGGGACTTGAAAAACATTGTAGAATTATCTACTAAAAATATCGTACAAAATTCGAATTATTTATTCACCGATTATTAAATTTTTCAAAATAAAATTCATTTTGGAAAAAATATATTTTAATACGAAAAATGGTACATTTTTTCCGGTTGATTTTCTTTTAATTTTAATTCTATGTGGAAGTGAATTTTATTTTAATATACTCATGTTGTTACTTGTTAAGTTCCGCTTTCTCCAATACATAATCAAAGGATTAACAACTTTTAATTTTCGCATTTAATATTAAAAAATTTTCCTTCACTTGTTGACATTATAAATGGGAATTATTAAAGAATTTATTATTCATATGAATAAAAAATTATTACCTGTTTTTATATTAAAATGTTTACGTAAAAAACTAGTATATAATCATTCAGTTTTTTATTATTTTCAATTTTCTTTCTTTTGTGAAAATTATTCTTGGAATTATTATTTATTAACTTTGAAATTTAATTTATGTTTAAATACTTTAAGGTGCTTTAATGTAATATTGCATTTTTTGAATTAATTTTTGAAAAAGACAGTTATCTACGTAAATTTGATTTGTTAATCAAAATGAAAGAATAATTTTTCGAACTAACCTTATTTTCTGTGCGATGACTATTTTTTGAAGAACTTTTTAAACTTTCTGCCCTTTTTGTATCTATTATTGTAGTTTACACTGCGATCGGCCGCGTTTGCGTAAAATCCTTGACTGTACTGTAAATTTCGTCAATAATAATTTTTAATTAATAATTCGATAATACCAAATTATATTAATAAAATAAAAATAAAATGTAACTACCTCTATTCCCAAGTTGTAAAAATATTGAAATGTCGGCAAGTCTGAAAAGAAAATAATTCTTAGAATTTAAATTGAAAGCAAAAACTATAAATAAATAATTTAATTCTAATTAAATGAGTTAATTTCGACAATAGATCGAAACGTATAAAAATAAAAGTACTGAAATTCGTTTTAAATTAAGTTTTAACTTTGATTTTAATAAATTTCAGTATTTTTATTATTATACGTATCGATCTATTGGCGAAATTAATTAATTAATTAATAATAATAATAATTAATTTTAACTTAACAAAATTCTTTCTTTTCCTCTCTCTTGTTTTCTTTTGAAAAAAATAGTTAAAATAGTTTAAAAATAGTTTTAAATTATAAATAATTTTACCTGCAAACGGCAAGTCGGCACAATATTTATCGTAGCTTGGAAGTGCGTTAAAATTTACCCGCTGAACATTTGGAACCGTTTGATTGAATTGAGTAAGATGTTGACAATAGGCGCAGGAACTTGGAAATACTGGTGGATAATAGACTGTAAAAGAAAAATTAAATTCAGTTAAATTAAATTTCCCTAAATGAAATTAAAAAAAAATGTGTACTATTTAAGAGAATATTTACCAAGTTGTGGAATGGCATAATTTATTCTTTGAAAATCTTCCGGAATAAAAATGGTTGGAGTGAAAAGCCCTGAATTTTGTTGAACCATAGAAGGCTCCACTTGCTAAAAAGTAAATTAATTAATTAATTACTTTTAATAATTAAGAAAAATTTAATTTCTATTAATACTAATTTTACCGAATTTTGCTTACCCTTTGGATGAAAAGTTCGGAATTTTCTGGAATTGTCATCATTGGTTCAATCTAAAAATGTAATTTTAATTAATAATTTTTTAATTTGGCTCAATCTATTACAATTTAATAAAAGGGAATACTTTTGACACTATTTTAAAAGTATTAAAGCATCAGAAAAGAATTATTTCTAGTAAGAACAAAAGATTTTTGTCAGTAACTTTAGTAACGTTTTTAACCAACACGTGGTGGTCATAACCTTTTTATATTTTTTCAACATTTTAAACTCAAGAAACTATTAACTAATTAATATCCTTAATAACAAAATTATTATGAACCACTTTCTCAAAAAAAAATAGATAAACGAAAGAGAAAACGTGCAAAGAGGTTACAATTTGACGGGACGCGACAATGTAATGAACAAAACATATTTTCTATCAAATTTAACCATTTCTTTTCGTCGATTATTTGTGATAATAAAACAAACGTATAAATTTACTCACCAATTTCTTCATCATATTCTCCAGCTCTATCTTCATTATTTCGAATCTCAGCGTGTCTGAAATCCGTTAAGATGACAATGAACTCTCTATTGTTGAGTTTGTGTTGAGTTCAACCAATGACAAGACCGGAAGTTTCGTGAAACAAAATGGAACAACTAATCAGAATTCATCAAAATAAAGTCCCTAATTAACTGGACAATAATAAAAATTCAAAAATAAAAAAAATATGGTATAATTTAATTACAATTATTATAATACTTAAAAGGATATTTTTTAACTTTAAGTTTATTTGACTTTCTTTGATTATAAAATAAATGTTTTTTTCAAATATCATAGGCGAACATAAAGAATCATAAGTTACTAGAATATTACCAAGTTTTACTGGTTGACAAGGTTGGCAGTATTGCGAACTTTGATCAACGTAACATAACCTTAATTTTTGTTTACCTTTCAAGTGTCAAAATCAGTAAAAATCGCCAAAATCTCAAAATCATCGAAATAAATTATTTCTAATGGTTTCATTTCTCTTCTGATATTATATAATAAAATAATAACGTGTTAAAAATCAGAATTTGATAACAATATATTGGATCAGGTGTGAAATTATACACTATTTGGTCTTAATAAACAAAAGCCAAACAAGGTACGTTTTTTACTTTTTGATGATTCATTTATTTCTCTTCTTATAGGTATGAAATTTTAATCAAAATTATTAAAAATTTCAATTGCTTTATAGCTTTTTAAATTTTCTCTCAGAAATAGTAAGTAGTGTTTAAAAATTAAATCCTAGGTTAGGACAGTTAGTGAAAAAATCAGTTTCGAAATCAACTCCCAATTTTATTGAATATTGATTTTTGTACAAATTTTTTATTTTCATAAAAAGAAAGTATTTTGCCCAAGACAGGGCTTGAACTAGGTTCGTAAATTTGTTAAAAATCCGTAAAAGTCAGTTTTTTAATAAAAAGGTCTGTAAAGTCCGTAATTTGATTGAAAAAGCAAGAAAAATTCATAAATTGTACGATATAATTTGGAGAATTTTTGAGAAGTTACAAATGATTGCAGAAATTCAATTATGTTTAAAAATTTTTTTAAATTCTCATCAAAATTTCAATTATCTTTATAAATAATAAAATTCTTCTCCGAAATTCAATTATTTACAAAACTTTTAATAAAATTCACTGGTTTGAGCCCTGGCCTAAGAAGATTTTTTTAAATTAAATAATAAATAGCAATGCATTATATTTTGAATTCAGTAAAATTAGTAACATATAAATGTACAGTGATGCGTGTAAATCGTACGCGAAATTCAATAAACAGTCCATTTAATTTGCATACAATATATCATAAACTGGTCTTGGAAGATGATCACTAAGTAAAGCTTGTATTCTCTCTCTACGAGACACTGGTGTGTACCTTTTCATTGGAAATGTTTTTGTTATTCCATCAGTTAATGCACGCATTACGGGAGTTAAATCAGCTTCAGGTCCTTTTGTATATTTTTCAAGTGCCAACATTTCCTTTTGAAATAACATTTTCCCATATTCTTTTCGTGTTTGTGGTTCAAGCTGTGTCCACATTTCTCTAGCTTGCTCCAAAATAATTGTATTATCCTTTAACCATGCATTTCCAGATACGTATTCGCCAGTTTCAACGATAACAACATCAACTCCCCATCTTCGCATTTCCAATCTTAAGCAATTTCCCCAAGCTTCTATTGCAGCCTAAAAAATAGAGGAGAAAATTAATTTTTTGCAAAAGAAGAGTAATTATTTTCTTTTTGTTAAATTTACTTTTTTTTTTAATTAACTCACTTTGACGGCGCAATGAATTCCTCTAACTGCACTTGGGATTCGAGCCAAAAGGCTACCGACCAGTACAATGCGACCTTTTGATCTTCTTACAAGTGGAAGGAAAACCTATTTCGAAAATTTAAGAAATGAAAATCAATTAAAAAATAATTTAGACGAGGAAAAAAAATTAAATATGTATCGAAAATTTGCCTGAGTTAATCTTGTCACTCCATTGACGTTCACGTCCATGCTTCTTCTTAAAACTGATGTTGGAATCCATTCACATTCACCTAGAGTTACCCAAGTATCTGTATGCACCAAAGCCCACAATCCTTTGCAATAAATAATTTTATTTCATTAGAAACTCGAAAAGAATTTGTAGTAAAAATAGTAATTATTGTAAAAAATAATAATTAGAACCTCAAAAAAAAGTTGTGGTAAAAAATAATAATTAGAAACTCGAATCCAAACTTTTAATAGAAAATAGTAAAAAAAAATAATATATTCTTTTATTGACAAGAAATTGCTATTTTTATTATTTCTAAAAAAAAATACCTGGTGATCCATCGGGTAAATTTTCATTTACGTATAAAAACGTTGAGTGAATATCGTGTTCACTAGTAATGTCCAATTGTAAAATGTGTAATCTGCCCGAAGATTCTTCTTTCAATTTTTGAGCTGCTTCCTCATTTTCCGCTCTATTGGAAAATCCCGCAAAAACTGTAAATCCCTTTACAAAAGTACAAGAGTTTTATATTTCCATTAGAGAAACGACGTTCAATAATTTTATTCTGTTTATGCTTGTCATTTAATATTATCAGCAATGAAAAAGCAGAAATTTATTTTCAATTTCTATTCAAAATTTCTAAAAGGTGATTATATTGCTCTCTCATAGAGAAAATATTTTTTATTTTATTTTATATTTTATTTTATATTTATGATAGCAAAATATTATATTTGAAAATAAAAATATTTATATTTGTTTATATTCAAATATAAATTTTAATTTTTCAATAAGTTCAAATTAAAAATTAAAAAAATTCACTTATTAAGTACATCATTAATTATTATTGTTTATTGTTTTCAAAAAATTTAATAAAAATTCAATTATTTTTTTAAATACAGTAAAATTCTTTGCAGAAATTTAATTATTTTCAATACAATTTTCATAAAACTTCAAGAAAGGATTCAATTATTTTTTCAATTTTTAGAAAATTTTTCGAAAGAATTGAATTATTTTCTAAAATTTTAATAACTATTTCAAAATAATTCAATTATTCTTATAAACAGAATTAAATTAGGAAATAATAAAATTCTTTTCAGGAATTTAATTATTTTCAAAACAATTTTAATAAAATTCATTAATAAAATTTTTAATTATAATTATTAATAGACAAGATTATTTTAAAAAGTTGGAAAAAAATCCTGTGTTTAGTTCAATTATTAATTATTTTTTTTATAATTAATAAGATTTTCCGCAGCAATTCAATTATTTTCAACACAGTTTAAATAAAATTTGTTGAAAGAGTTCAATTATTAATTCAAAAGTTTTGATAAAATGTTTTATAAGAGTTCAACTATTTTTAATAAATAATTGAATAAAATTCTTTACAAGAATTGAATTTTTTTTATAAATAAATAAGATTCTTCAGAGGAAATTTAATTATTTTCAATATAATTTTAATAAAATTTCTGGAAAGATTCAATTATTTTTATATATTTCAATAAAGTTTTTCGAAAGAATTCAATTATTTATAAATATTTTATAGAAATTTTAATAATATTCTACGTAAGAATTTAGTTATTTTTAGTACAATTTTTATACAATTTCTCCAATGAATTCAAATATTTTCGAAAATTTTAAGAAAATGATGGGAAGAATTAAATTATTTTCTAAAAATTTTAATACAAATCAATAATCAAATGTTTAATTTCAATTATTAACAAACATGATTATTTTAAAAGGTTCAAAGAAATTTTTTATAAACTTCAATTACTTTAAAAATTTTCAATTAAAATTAATAACAAAAATTCATTATTTTCAAAAAATTCAGAAAAATTCTTCAAAAGATAACAATTTAATAGAATTCAATTATTTTCATAAATAATACAATTGCTCTAAGCAATTCTTCTACAAAAAATAAATATGTCAATTTTTAATTTTTTTGTAATTAAAAATTTATCAACATTTTTTCTTTGAATTGGCAAAAAATGTTGTCCTTTAGAAATGTTGAATAGAAAAGTATACCGATATTTTTAACTATGTATATAGAGGAAATATTTAAAATAATTCTTAAAAATGAGATATTTTTATGGTAATATTTTGTGAGAAATTCAATGGCCATAAAATAAAATGGTTCAGAAAATATTTTTACCTCTTCAGAATTTTTATTTTTCACAAAAATTTGTAGAAAATATGTTTTTTTTAATCACATAAAAATTCCTGAATGGAAATTTTCTCTCTTTTTAAACCATTTAAAAAAAATTATTTTTAAGCTAAAAATGCAAAAAAAAATACAATCGTTGTTCAATTTATTATTTTGAAAATTTATATAAAAAATTTATGATTTGAAATTAATTAGAAAAGTAAAAATGCTTCAAAAATAGTAAAAATCAAATTTTCCATTCGTCAATTTTTTTATCAGTACAGAAACATATTTTCTAGAAAATGACGCGTGGATTTAAAAGTCAATCAATTTCTAGAAAAAATTGGTGCAAAAATAGTTTCCAGCCCATTTTATTTTATGTCCATTGATTTCCGGAGAAAAAAAATGACTACAAAAATAATTTTGTCGAATATTTAAAATATTTTCTTACTATCGGTAAAAATATTCCTTCCCTTAAATAAAAGAAATTTACCAATTCGTCTAATTTTCTGGCTAATGCGTCTCCAACTCTTGTATCACATCCGGTAATTAATACTGCTTTTCCTGCTGCTGATATCTATACAACAGAGAATTTATTTGGATTAGAAAATTTTTGAAAGTGGCTTTATCTGTATAAATATCGAATCTCTATTATATTCTTCTAGCGTCTTCTACTCTCAAGGGAGGCTCTCTTTTTTGTTTCTAAAACATGAACAATGATAATGTACCGAAAGGGAAAATGCCTGCACTTTATGATATACATTTATTATTTAGTGTTTTTTCTCTTTAGTCATCTTGTTTGAAACCTTGAACTTTGCGACACGTGTGAGGGAAATCAATAGAACATTTGGGAAATTCAAGTCCATGAAATTATTCACTTTAAATTAAAAACCTCCGCAGTATTAATTATCCAGTAACAAATTTTCCACGAACAAGAAAAACGAATTCCTCGAGAGTCCATTTCTATTTTATTTGGACTTTGACATTGATGAATATTCTTTTTTCTCCTATTTTTCTAAATATCTAAAAAAAAGATTTTTCCAAGTTTTGAAATTTTAAATTAGTAATAAAATTAAATTAGCTTTTAAATTATTAACGAGACACTTATTATTATTGTTTGGAAATTTGAAAAGTTTGAATTATATTACTTTTAATCGAATTAGTATTTTAATGGAGTTGAAAAGTTACATAAACAAAATTAATATTTAATTATATTACAATTGGATTTTGTTTAAAAAATAATAGGGGGAAAAAAATTCTTTTGAGAAAGTTCGATTCCTCATTTGTTATATTAATAAAATGTTGGGTTTAAAAATAGAAAGCTCGTTCTCCTGGTATTGTTATAAAAAAAAGGTCAGAGTACCGACATAGATGCTTTTAATCAGATCACTGCGCGGACTCGCAAGCCTTTGATATTTTCAGTGACAGTCGAGATGATAACATTATCAAAGGCTTTAGTGTTAAATTTGTTTTTTTTTTTTGGAATTTTCTCTAATTGAAGAATTTCAAAGGAAATGCATATATTGTTTTGACAGTTCTATTTAATTTGGTTTCGAGGAGAGGACATTGAAAATTTTCTACCTCAGTTATTAATAAACACTCAACCTTCAATTCCAAGTTTATGAAATTTCTGAGAGTAAAAATTTTTTCGGGAGAATTGTTTTCTTTAGTTTTTAATTTTTTATATTTCTCATTTTTTGTTCATAAAGAGCAAATAAAAATTTATTTTTGAAACTCACCTTGAGATTGTGGTAGAACAAGGTGAAACTAATGGATATAACCAAAAATAATAGAAAAAGCACAAAACTAGAAGTTTGAGAGATGCCAAATGTATTTAATACTGTCGCTACAATGACAGCAATTGCGTGTGAAAAAGCAATAGGCAATAAACATCTTTCGGCTAATTCCCACGATTGGGAATCATCTTTTTCTAGATCTGAATTCACTGAAGGCATTGTTGTTGTTGTCTTTTTTTTTGTCCTAATTGAATTATTTGTGAAATTTTGATCAAATCATTCGATTATTAGTTTAGGCTCGCCTAAGGAGCCACAACACTGAGCTTCTTCGCCTGAGCTAACTTTAAACTGAAAAGTGTCTAGTCTTGGTAATCTAAAATTAACCACATTGCTCTCTGCTTTAACCCTGTGAATCTCGATAAAACTGTCTCACCTGTTTAGAAATAAAACATCGTACCATGAATGAAAGTCATAGTACGAGATAAACAAACAAGTATATAGCGAGTTGATAGACGCTAGTTTACAAACAAGCCCTCCCACATTAATTATCTGCTTTATGAGCCACTTATTTGATAAAGAGAAGGAGAAGTTAATTCTCAAAAAAGTAAAATTTATTACTCAGACTCTAAATGCTGAAATTTTAAATGATATTTATACAGTAAAATTTTCGTAATTATTTCTAAAAAGCTGCGAATTAAATTCATTTTTAATACTTTAATATTATTAATTGATAATTTTTCCCCCTCAATAATTTAATTTTCAAAAATAATTATAAATTAATAAATAAAATAAATTAAACAAAATCCAAAAAATGTTTTAAAAAAAATTAATTTGCTTACTTTTCGAAAATTACAACCTTGGACAATTTAATATTTTAATTTTATTTTTTGCGAATTTTCCCTCCAATCCTAAAGAAATATTTACCATTAATTTTCAAAGTTAGTAAAAATTCTCATTTTATTCTTTTTCAAAAAGAAAATGTTCTTAAAGTTTTGAAGGTTCAAATGAAGGAAATTTATTTATTTCTTCTTCAAATTAAATATTTATTAATAATAAAAAAATATTCCCATCAATTTCCAAAAATAATGGAAAATTCGCTTTCTTTTTTTTAAATAAAATTTAATAAATAAACTGAATTAAATGAAACCCAAAAAATATTTAAAAACCAAAATAAAATTTACTCACATTTCTAAAATTACAGTTTTGGAAAATTTAATACTTTTTGAGCATATTTTTCCCACCCATAAAAAATATTTCCTATTAATTTACAAAAATAATTAAAAATTCGCTTTCTTTTTTTAAATAAAACAAATTAAATAAAAGCCCAAAAAACGTTAAAAAAATAAAGTTTATTCACATTTCAAAAATTCACAATTTTAGACAATTAGATATTTTAATTTTACTTTTTGAGAATTTTTTCCCAATCCTAAAGATATATTTCCCATTAATTTAAAAAAAAATGAAAAATTCTTTTTTTTCTTTTGAATAAAATCAATTAAATTAAGCAAAGTGCAAAAAATGGTTAAAAAAAAAAAATTTGATGAAGTTTCTAAAATTACAATCTTTTTTATTTAATTTTACCTTTTGAGAATTTTTTTCCACCCATAAAGAAATATTTCCCATTAATTTACAAAAAAGAATAAAAATTCTCGGTTTCTATTTTAACTTCAATTCACTTTACTTTATTAAAATTAAAATGAATTAAATAAAACTTAAAAAATGTTTTAAAAAATAAAGTTTGCAGAAATTTAAAAAATTAGATTTTCAGACAATTAAATTTTACTTTAATTTTACTTTTCTAGAATTTTTTGCACCCATAAAAAATATTTCACATTAAATTTCCAAAAATAATTAAAAATTCGATTTCCTTTTTTTTAAATAAAATTTAATAAATAAACTGAATTAAATAAAACACAAAAAAAGTTTTAAAAAATAAAGTTTCCTTTCATTTGGAGAATTATAATTTTGAATAAAGAAATATTTCCCATTAATTTCCAAAAATGAATAAAAATTCTCTTTCTTTTTTTAAATAAAATTTAATAAATAAGCTGAATTAAATAAAAACCCAAAAAACGTTTAAAAAATAAAGTTTGCTCACATTTCGTAAATTTACAATCTTGGAAAATTTAATACTTTAATTTCACTTTTTTGAAAATTTTTTTCCCGCCCATAAAGAAATATTTCCCATTAATTCCCAAAAATAATTTAAAATTCTCCTTTTGTTCTTAAAAAAATGAATTAAATAAAACAAAAGTTAAAAAAATAAAGTTTGTCTACATTTTTAAAATTATAATCATTGACAATTTAATACTTCAATTTTATTTTTTTAAAAATTTTTTCTCCTTCCATAATAAAATATTTGCTTTTAATTTCCAAAAATAATTAAAAATTCTATTTGCGTTTTTTTTTGTTAAATTATTTGAACCATAATGACGTCAGTGTTTGCAAACCATGTGTTCTGAAACTGTGACGTCAGGACGGTTCAAATGCCTTTGAAAAATAAAATGAATTAAATAAAACAAAATAAATTTTTCAAGTAAAATGAATTTTAAAAAAACCTCAAAAGTGTCTAAAAATAAAGTTTGTAATTTTGCAACAATTTTGGTGAATTTAAAACTTTAATTCAATTTAATTACTTTTATTTATTTGTTAAGTATTTTTTTCCCACCCATAAAGAAATATTTTTTATTTCCAAAACTAATTAAAAATTCTCTTTTTCTCTCTTTTTTTAAAATAATTAAACAAAAACCAAAAAAATGTTTAAAGGAATCACATTTCTAAAATTAGAATCTTGGACAATTCTTGGAAATCTTAAAAAATTGAATTGGTAGTGGGGTAGGTTATTGATTTCTGTCTGGTGCCATGTTGGGAGGGTTCACTGTTAGGGGTGTCTAGTTTCTGTATATACGCAGCGGTTTACAGAGTGTATAAATAGAAGGGGTAGTTGCACCATTGACCCAGTGTTGGTTTGTCACACAAACAGTTCGCTCCTAGCTTTAATCACCAAAGCCTTCCTCATTTTCTTTTTTGTAAATCTTCAACTGAAAAAGAAAAGAAAAATAATTATATTAAACTCGTTACGAAAATCTCTCTGTGAATTAAAATTAAAAAAAAAAGCTCGTGAGAAAAAAAAGAGATTTTTCCTTATCACTGCCCTTTAAAATACCATTTTTGTTACATACCACTTTTTTATATCCAAAAGAAAAAAGAAAAATACGTAAATGCCTGTTTAAGTGCTTCCAACAATCCAAAAGCGATCCTTATATTGTGCCATTAAATGCCACTTATTTGACAACACTGTGCTCAATTGAACTCTTTCAATGTGCATCGAAAGTCGAATTTTCAAGCCTGTGAATCTTCTTAATAATAAAAATCGTATTTGTCTAAAAGAAAAAAAATTACGTCGAAACTTTTTGTCTTAAGGAATTGAAGTTAGATTTTACGGAATTCTAGGTTATTGTATATATTTTTTCATTAACGAGAAAGTATTCTTACTGTCATGGCAGAAATGTCAGTGATGCCTCATGGATCGGGGAATCCTTACAAAATTGTTGATCATGCGAGAGAACGCAGAAAAGGAATTACAGCATCGTCCCTCGAGGAATTAACAAATACAGCGCGAAGTCGACTTGCTCTTCCTGACGATGGCCAGCTCACCATTGTTTTGGAGCAGGACGGTGAGTTTTCTGTGAAATTTTTCATTAATTAATATTTCGCTAATAGAATCAGAAATCGAAAGAATAGAATTTAATTAATTTTTAATTCATATTTTGCAGATGGAATTGAAAAAATAAAATTTAATTAATTTTTGATTCCTGCAAATGGAATCGGAATCGCAAAAATAAAATTTAATTAACTTTTCATTCATATTTTGCAAATGAAATCGAAATCGAAACAATAAAATAAAATTAATTTTTAATTAATATTCAAATTCATTTGTTTAAAAAATTCTTCGAAACTTTTTGTCTTAAGGAATTGAATATTTTACGGAATTCATATTTTGCAAATAGAATCGAAATCGAAATAATAAAATTTAATTAATTTTTATTAGAAAATAAAATAAATTAATTAGTGATATGTACTGTAATAAATTAGAAATAGAATAAATTACAAATGAAATAAATTACAAATTGAATAAATCACAAATACAATAAGTGTTCCTAAAGTTTTGAACTTTTTTTCTATCTGAATATTTTTCAAAATTATTATGTAAAAAAGAAATAATCGAAATTAAACATTTCCCTGCATGAGAATTAATCATTTTTATAAACAAAAAAAAATTTTTTTTAATAAAGAAATACAAATAAAAAGAAGTGAAAAAAATTGTCGTTCGTTTCAACGTTCGAAACTTCAGGAACATGCAAATTGCAAATACTAAAAAATCTCGAAGGAAATTTTCCCGGTGAAAGATAATTATATTTCCTTTTTTTTTGCAAAATAATTCGAAAGATTTTTTTTTTTTTTTCATTTTATTCGTGGAAATGAAATTACAAATATATTGAGAAGCGAAAGGAAAAATAAAATTTTTCTGGCGAAAAATAAAATTGTTAAATGTTAATGGAAATTTGAATTTTAGGTACTGAAATCGATGATGAGGAATACTTTGCGACATTGGAAAAAAATACGAGTTTAATGGTACTACACGGAGATCAAAAATGGATGGCAATTGGTGGAAATCTTACCTCGCGTTATATCGTCGTGGATGACGTAGATCACGCTGAAGGTTCAAGAGGTGACTCCAGAAGACATCGATCGCCCTTGGAACCCCTGGTATCATCATTACATGGAGATCCAACGCATATTTCACTTCTTGGTGGACATGATTTAGAAATGCTCAGCGATATGGATCCTGACAGTTTGGCCGATATTATACCTGACAAGTAAAACAAAAATTGTTACTCAATATTTTTTTAGAAAATTTTGCTTTAATTTACCTTATAATCGGGAAATGTATTTTGATTTTTTTGCAGAATAATTAGGATTAGTTTTTTTATATTCTTCATAGAAAGCATGGAAATTCGCTATAATTAATTATTATTTAAAACTTTAATGAAATTCGTCTGAAGAATTCAATTAGTTTTATATAAATAATAAAATTCTTCGCAGGAATTCAATTATTTTCTATAAATAATAAAATTCTTCGCAGAAATTCAATTATTTTCTATAAATAATAAACTTCTTATTAGGAATTCAATTATTTTTTCTATATAATATTCTTCGCGGAAATTCAATTATTTTTGTTATAAATAATAAAATTTTTCGCAATTTTTCGAATATTTTTAACACAATTTTAGTCAAATTTATTGAAAAAATCCAATTATTAATTCAAAAGTTTGGACAAAATTTTTTATAAGAGTTCTACTATTTTTAAAAAATTGAATAAAATTCTTCGCAAAAATTTAATAATTTTTAATAAATAATAAAATTCTTCGCAGAAATTCAATTATTTTCTATAAATAATAGAATTCTTATTCTTCGTAGGAATACAATTATTTTTAATGCAATTTTAGTAAAATTTCTGGAAAAGATTCAATTACTTTTAAAAATTTTAATAAAGTTTTTCAAAAAAATTTAATAATTTTTCATTAAATAAAATTCGACGCAAGAATTAAATTATTTTTAGTACAATTTCTATATAATTTCTCCAAAAAATTCAAATATTTTTAAAAAATTCAATTAAATGCTGGGAAAAATTTAATTATTTTCAAAAAATTTCATTAAAATTTAATAATCAAAATTTTAATTACAATTATCAACACACACGATTATTTTAAAATCTTTAAAAAAATTTTTCGTAAAAATAAATTATTTTCAATATTTTTAATTATCTTTATTAAGAAAATTACATTATTTTTAAAAAATTTAAGGAAATTCTTCAAAAGAATATAATTTTTTTCGAAAACTCTAATAAAATTCTTGAAAAGAATTTGAATATTTCCATAAATAATCAAATTCTTCGCAGGAATTCAATTATTTTCAATGCAAATTTTATAAAATATCTCGAAAGAAATGAATTATTTTCAAAAATATTGATAAAATTAAAAAAATTTATTTATTTTAAAAACATTAATTTTAAAATTAGAAATCTTATTTAAAAAGAAAAAAATTATCATGAATGTTATTAAACAAAATAGCAAACAAAAACAACTAACTTCAATCTGCGAACTGATTACCGGAATAAAAAGATTATTATTGATTATTAATATAATTATTGAGATTATTAGGATAATTTTAATAATTTAACTAAAATGAAAATGAATTAAAATTATTTTAATTAAATATTAGGATAAATAGAATTTTTCGTAAAAAAAATTCGAATTGGTACATTTTAGAGAATTGTCATGCTTTCGGAATCCAGGGAATCGTTATTTATTTTTTCTTATTATAAAATAATAAAATATCTTATTGAATAATTTAATTATTATCTTATTAAATAATAAAATATCTAAATAATTAGTTTTCACAATTTTAACTTGAAGAGAAATAATGAGGAAAATAATAAAAATTACAGATTATTCTTGGAACAATTGAAAGAGGCGTCGGGAAGATTTTTGGTGGAGAAACGACAAGCCCAGGAGTCGATGGCTCTTCTTCAAATGTACGCAACTGGAGGCGAGATGGAAAGAGCGTAGGCCATGTGGGGGGTGGGCGCCCTCACATTAGCACACATGTATCGCGTGCGACGCCGAATATTTTACAAAGGTCGTCAATTGCAGCAAACATTTATTCTCTTTTGGAATTGAGCCCACCTGACAGAAAAAGAAAAACAGAATAAAAAGAATGAAAGGAAAAAAGTTCTTGGCGAAGAATATATATAAAGCTTCCCGGTCGAACGAAAAATAACAACTTTCTGATTCAATTTTTGATTGATTCATTATAATCAATTCAAATTTTTGTTCGGAAAGTATTTTTACAAAAAAAGAAGGTCATTGTCAAATCAATTTAAATTGAAAGACATATTTGTTATTTGTCAAAGTACACAGAATTTGACTCTAAAGTACTTGCCTTTATTTTATTTAAAATGTCAAGAGTCCTAATTTTAATGAAGGAAGACCTATGACTATAAAAGTATGTAAACTCTTTTTCTCTATTAAAAACAAAAGGATATAAAAAATTAAGAATAAATTTAGATTTACGTGTTTAGAAAAAACGAGTACATATTTGAGTTGTAGACCTAAATAATCTGGTTGCAAATAGTATGCAATTGAAACGCATCAATTTCTCAAGAATTCGTTTTCATATTTAAAAAACTTTATTTAAAAAAAAATATTCCAAAGAAAAGCGAAATTGAAGTTTTTAAAGCAAATTAATTTCACATAATTATAAATATAATTGAAAATTAGTATACTCAATTTAATAGATACAGTATTTAATTTTCAACAAACAAAACGGATTTTGAGAAAATATGCGCCTCTAATTACTGTGTATATTTATAGTGTGCAGTTCACCATACGGAATTGCTTCGAAATTCAGTAAAAAAAAAATAATAAAGTAATGTAATACGCAGTATAATTATTAAATATAACTACGATGGTTTTATATTACGTGAAAAAGAAATAATCGTTAGAGAAGGCATTACGTTGCAATATTGTATCATATCAGTGTGAGCACAAAAGCCCAAAAATTTCTTAAGTTCCAAAAAAAAAGAATCTGACGATTTTTTATTTTTAATGAATTCTCTTTGTTATATAGGTAATTTAGAATGTAAATTTTTCCTTTTGTTTCAACGAAGTTTTCAAGGAATAATTAAAGACTGAATTTATATAGGAAAATTTGCATCCCATTTTAGATCACCAATTCACTGTGCACATTAGTAATATTTACGAAACAAAAAAAAATACAAACAAATAAACAAAACCACGAACAATATCAGACCTTTGATACCTAACAGTTATGCGTTTGATAAAAAAAAATCTAGGAAAAAAAAATTCTAACAAAAGAAAAGGCTTTTAGAGAATAATTCAAGTTTCCCTAAAAATTCAGAAATTCTTTTTGTAAAATAGATCATTTTTTGTTTAAATTTAAATAATTATAGAGTTATGAAAAATTATGTTAATTTTATGAATATATATATATATATATATATTTAATAAAGTTGGATAGTTTATTGCTCAAGTTAAATGTTTTAATTTCAATAAACGAAATTCTACAATTTTGTAACCTTTTTCTCTCAATTGACTACTTTAAATTGATTTATTATTTGTTTTTCTATGTTTATTCTATACTATTCTATGACTATTATTGACAGATTTTATTGTTATTTATTACATGACTATCAACGCTTGGGAAAATAAAAAATTGCTAATTATTTGCTGCTGAAATTCGTTGTTTAATTTTAATTGTACATAATTTTGTAAATTATGTACAAAATAAGCCTTTGATATTGCAATATTCTTTTGTATGCCTTAACACTGATAAGAAAAAAATAATCTTGATACATTCAAAAACTTCTCACTTGCGGCATTAAATTAAAACACTAATAATTATACAGTTTGAGATTAATAGTTAGTTAGTCATTAGAGAAATGTTTTTAAATGTTAATTTCCATCAGTTTTTAGCTCACCTTAAACATTTTTTTGTTGAGTCCTTTCTCTGCAAATTATTTAAAGCAAATGCTTAAAAAAAAACATTTGTCATTGCTATAAAAAGTAATAAATAATTAATTATATTTAAACAACAAAAAATCAAATCTGAACAAGAAGAATTTATTTTCAAGAAAAGAATAAAATAGGTACTCATAAAAAAAGAATGTAATACTAATTAAAATAATTCTTTAACGAATTTATGTTTTCTTTCGCTTTATTTTGTATTTTTATTCAAAATAGTAACTCTATTTTAATTAAATTTTTAGAGTTGATTTTAAATTGTTACTTCTAAATTCTAATACAAAAACTATAAAAGGACAAAAATTTTCTCTTTTTCTTTCATTATAACAAAAAAAATGTAAAATTAAGAAGCAGAAGATACACAAATAGTATTAAAACAAATGTGCCTATAACAAAGCCTTTGCATTTATAGAAAAAAAAAATAAAAAAAGGGAACTTAGCAACCTCTGCTTCTTTCTACCCGTTCGTTAATCTTAATGATTAATTAAATAAATAATAAGTAATAAATACAATTAATGCCACAAATGAGAAAATATAATTAAATTTACCAATTAATTGTTGCATTAATAAAGCATTTTGATGATTATTTTCAATTTTTAAAGAAAAGAAAAAAATATGCAACGACCATTATAAAAACAAGTATTTGATATATTCGTAATTACAAATAATTTGCTATATTACAAATTTATGAATGTATTAATTTAACAGCTACAATAGTATATTAAATTAAAAATATTAACGCATAATTGAAAAAAAATATATATAAAACTAGCTGTTGTTTAAAGAAAAAAATATGTGCTCCTAGGAGATAACTTATTGTATATTTAATAGAACTGCCAGTAACAAGACAAAAATCAATTAATGCTCAACAAAGTCCCTCAAAAACAAAAAAATAGAAAAGAAAAATGTTTGGCGATTTTTCTAGAATCGCTCATGTTAGGTATTATTATTATTGTTTTTATTATTATTCAATTTATCGGAATGGCAAAGAAAATAAATTTTACAACAGATTATTATTATTAATTTAAGTCACTTGAATGGTAAAAAAAATAAATTTTACGACTTATTATTATTATTCTTATTATTAATTAAAGTCGAATCTGAATGGCGAAAAGAAAAATAATTTTTACAATATATGTACACAAAAGTTTAACTTTTTATGGTGTGTAGAAAGTTGAGATCCAAAAGTTGAAGTAAGGAATTGGAAGCATTTGCAGTTCGATTCGATGCATTGCGTAATTGACAAGCGGCTTCTTGTAGAATTAATTCGCTTTTTAACAATTGTCGATTAGCAATGGACAATTCTTGAATACCAGTTGTAATTAAATTCTGGACAGTTCGTTGAACATCGTTGTCCAATGCAATATTACATTCATCTGTTTTTATTATAAATTTATCATTACACGACTGTATATGAATGAAAATATAATTGTATTATAATCAATTCACCCACAATATTCTCTGACAGGAGAATTAAAAAAAAAAATAGAAATTTAAATTTAAAACAAAAAAAATTTTTTTATCATCTAATGATAAAAATTTTTAAATGTAAATTTTTAAAAATTAAATTGAAGAATTCTGAGAAAAGGAAAATAATTTTAGTTAAAAACTTTACGAAAAGTTTTATCGATAATCATTTTCGAAGAAAGTAGATAAAATAGTTAATTAACTGTTAATAGTAATTAATAGTTAATTTCAATTAAATAACTAATTTTACTAATCAATAAAAATAGTTTTAAAAAATAGAAAAAAGAAATAAAATAAAATTTTTAATCAGAAAATTTTTTTCTGGAACATTTTAGTTCAATTAATTAACTAAAAAAATAATCAGTTTAATCCAACTTTACATTAGTTTATAATTTATTTATTTATCAGAGTCTCTTGTAGGTGAATTGTCTTAAAAAAAATGTTAAATTGAACTAATGATCGCTCTTTACTTCTAATTTCTGAACTTTTATTGCAACTTTTTTTTTATAATAACGATTATTGTTATTATTAATATTAATTTATTAATTAATTAATAGTTAAATTTTTTTCAAAGCCGAAAGGCATGAACTATGTATAATAAATAATAATAATAGATACTTTTCTTTTAAGTTCAAATATAAAATACAATTAGAAATTAATTATTAATTCAGGGTATTTTTTTCGAAATACGAAAATATATTTCGCAACCGAAATCTTTGACTCTAAGGAACGAAGGTTGTATTAACATTATTATAAAATGAGAAAAAAATTTTTCATGAATGAATTGTTCTTAATTTCTCTACATTTTAATCGATTGTAATATAATCATTAACACGAATTGTAATTAAGACCAGTTTATGTAATTGAAATTGTACGGTCAATAAAAATAGTTATAAGAAAAAAGAATAGTCATTTTTTTTCTTCTTCCATTCTTTCTGTTTCGATGCGATTATTAATTTAGATGAATTGTTAAAAAAATAAATTATTCAATATTACATTTAATTGATAAAATACAATAAAAGATTGTAGTGTAAAAAAAAATTATTATAAAGTTTCTAAATGTAAAATTTTTCATTTTTATTGCAATTAGTAATTTATGAAAATATTTTTAATTAAAAATATTTCGTTCGTTTGAACGTTCAAAACTTGAAGATAGCAAATATTAATATTCAAATCAATTATCTATTAAAAAAATTGAATGTTAATTAAATGAAATAAAAAATTATTAATATTTCTGTTAATAAATAAGAAAAATTAATAATGGAATGTTCAGAAGTTTTTCTTGTCAAAAAATTTTGCTAAATTGCTAACTGGAAATATTTTTTTACTATAATGAAAAATCGAGTTGTTTTTATAGTTCTTTTTTAAGTAAAAAAAAAAAATTATTATTTTTAAGAAACAAAAAAATAATGATTACTTACAGAGTTTAAAGTGAAGTAAACTGTTGTATTTGATGTAACTTTTTTTTTGTTTTGGTACTTTAGCCTCAGTATACGAAGGACAAACAGCAGCATCAATTGCACTGCTTAAGCTACTCAAACTTGCTTCATCTGTATAAAAAAAAGTGAGAATAAAATATTTGCAATCAAATTATTTTTCACTAGATTAAAATTTACATAAAGCTTTGTATTTTTTTTTATTAATTTGCAATTTTAATTAATTAGCCAGTTTGTTTGGAAGCTCCTATTATATGAAACGGAGAAACTAGCTGCTAAAATTTAAAAAAAAAAACGACAACGTACGTACTCTGGATCGTCATTACTTGATAAACTGTAAAAGTTGATAAACATTTTTTGTCATATTTTCTAGTTTTAAAGAATATTTGACACGACATTTAATTATAGTTCAAAATTTATATAATTTTATATTTATTATTTATTCTTAATTAATGTATTAATTTAATAATATTTAGTAAAATTTTTTTAATTTATTAATAATTATTTATATTTATTGTTACATTGTTTATTTATATTTATTGTTTTTCAAATTTGTTGAAAAATTTTTTTTACTTGTTTGATGTAATAAAATACAATTTATAATTATCCTGTTCGGAATTAAATAAATAATGAATTGAACGATATTAATTATTTACCATCATCAGATTCTTGAGCTTCTCCTGTTATAATTGTTCCACAAGTGTTTAGAGTAGGAAATCCTATTCCCTAAAGTAAATAAAAATTTATTAACAAATTTTATTTTTATGAGTGAAATTAATTAATTAACAAACAAAGAGTAACAATACAGTAAAATAATTAATTTTTAACTTTAAAATAACTAATTTTTAAATTTAAAATAAAATAAAAATTTAAAAATTAAAATTATTTGATTGAATAAAAAATCGAATATAAATTGTTAAGTAAATAATTAATTAAATTAAATAAAAAAATTGATTAAAATGATGAAAAATTAAAATTAATTAGTTAAACAATTAGTAATATTCCTGAATATTACAAAAATAGTGTAAAATAATTTACTCACAGTGGTGATATGACCAACTTCGTCGTCTGATTCGGAAGCCTCACCAGAAATTACAACAGCTTTTGAATCCATATTAATTTTCTTTTTTGTGCAACTTCGTCAATTTAATTTTTGACCAAAAATTCCAAAATTAGAGAAAAAAATACTGAAAATAACTGCATCAATTGTTATAATTTTAGGTTAGATTTCTTGTAATTTATAGAGTTTATTTCGATTATTTTAAGAGAAATTGTTATTATTTACAATTTTTTTTGGTATTTAGAAACAGAATGAATTTCTCTACTTACTCATAATAATGCTTAATTTTATTTATCCATTAATTATGAAAAACAAAATTTTTTGGACAAAATGAGAAAATCACGTTTGTTTTCTTACTTTTGAGATTATTTTTATTTTACTGTCAACACTGAGAGTAACATTATCATGAGTAGGTTAAGAAGAGTACGGCGGGACATTTCAAAACAAGTAGAAAATGTGTCTGACTGAAAATGACTTTTACTACTCACTTACGATAATGTTTTTTCGAACAAATCAACGTCATTTTTACATATTTTTTCTACATTTTTAACTAAATAGAAGTTTCTCTTATTATGAATTATAAATTTAAATAAAATTTTGGCTGACTAGAAATGACTTTTACTACTGGCAATAGAAATGCAAATATTTTTGAAAAACTTGCAATTTTTCTATTTAATATTTTTTTATTTAAAGAAAAAAATATTTTTCTATTTAAAATAAAAATTTAGTTGAGAATTAAGAATATTTTGTCTGACTTTAAATTTACTCTTACTACTGAAACGAGATTTTGAAAAAAATTTTATGATTAAAGAAGAAATAAAAAGAAATAAAGAATCAGTATAAAGAAGAAATTCTCTATACTGAAAAATAGAAATAGGAATTAAAAATTTTTTGTCTGGAGTAAAATTAGTTTTACTACTAATTATGGTTTTTTTTAAAAAATAAATTGTCTGAATAAAAGTGCCTTTTACTACTGAATGTCAAATTTTGCAGGGTAAAAAAAGAGTCCCGTCTATAACAATTTATTTTTAACTATACTAATTTCTAAATATTTAAAAAAAATTCTGTCTGACTAAACTGGTTTTTACTACTTCTGCAAAATTAAAGTTACGATGACAAATATTCTGTCTGACCTAAAACTTATTTATACTACTGATTTTCGAAAAATTTGAGAAAATAATTTTTGAACAAAATAATTTTTACTACTCCCGTAAAAAACAAGTTAATAAAATATTTTATCTACGAGAAAATTTATTTTTTCTACTAAAAATGCAGAATAGGAAAGTTTTGTCTGACTAAAATTGCAATTATCTACTGACGCATGGAAAAAGGTTAAAAATGTTCCGTTTGTCAAAAAAATTAGTTTTACTAATATCGAATGTTTAAACATTGTGTTTGACTATAAAGAAGATATATTCTACTGAAAAATTAAAATAGAAATTAACAATTTGTCTGTTTTTTTGGTAAAATTAGTTTTGCCAGTAAGTACGCGATTAAAAACAATAAATTGTCTTTCTAAAACTGACGTTCACTACTGAAAGACAAATTTCAGTGTTAAAACAAGTTGTTTGATTATAACTACTTTTTACTACTAATTTCCAAAGAATTTGTTGAAATTTTGTCTGACTAAAATGATTGTTACTACTGCTATTAAATAAAAAATAATCTGTCTGACTTAAAACTAGTTTGACTACTTAAAGTCGGAATAGAAAATTTTGTCTGACTAAAATTATAATTTACTACTGAAATACAAATTACAAAAATAAAAAATGTGAATTTATATTTATTTATTTATAGAATATATTTATTTATAAATTTATATATTTATTTATAAATTTAGATATTTATTTATTAATATTACATAAACATAATAAACAAAAATTCTCAATTTAATTATGAATTTCACTGCAATATAATTTTAATACATCTGAAATTGAGTCAAATAAATGGAAAATGTTTATAAATTGATTATTAAATATGTAAAGGAATATATATACCTACATAATATAACCCCCGTTATTGTATAAACGAAATTGGAAATTTTGTTACACGTTATACAAAATTTTATTAAACAAACAAACAAAATTAAATTTTCGCTGTTGAATGGTATAAAATGTTATTTCGTAAAATTATATTACAAAATCAATTTCACATGGAAATTTATTGTTAAATTTAGATATGAATTTTACATTTAAAAATGATAAAGGAGTAAAAATTTAAATTATACTTTTGACGATAAAAGACTTACGCTTTTCTCTCTTCGTATGTATATGTATATATGTATGTAACAATCGGTTTTCTATTTCACAACCGAGATCAAAAGGAATATAAAATGCAGAATTCAATTTCACGTGGATCATTAAATTATCCCTCTAAATCGTATCATTTTTTTTTCATCTTGTTTCAAAACTTCATTAAATAATTCAAGTGTGTTATTTAAATGTTTTTTGAAGAAATAAATGTTTTTCATATTTATAATAAGGGAAAAATATATTTTGTTCAGTTCATGTTTCTTTTTGAAATTTTCAACTGAAATGGAATTTTTTTCGTTCACTTTTAATTATTTAAATTTTTTTATCTGAGATTTTTACCACTAATTTAATTAATTACTTATAATCATCTGACTATATCGTAGTTACACTATTAATTGAAGAACGAAATATATTTATATTATTGTTGGCTGACTAAAACTGTCTTTTACTACTATTACAAGAACTGCAAGAAATTTTACTTGTCTGACAAAACGTGTTTTTACTACTCATGTAATTATGGGTGATTCTCCCGAAATACTCCTTTTTGTGAGTTACAAACAGAAAAGAAAAAAAATTATTATTTATGGATTAATGCAGTCAATTATATTGAGCTTTCAAAAATCTACCACCTCTATAGCATGATCATGCTAACTTTTAGCTTTTAAAGTATATATTTTAAATTAAAATTTACAAAAAAATTAAGAGGTTAAAATTTGGCGCCGGCGTTTTTTATTATATATATTTTTCTATTTACAAAAAATTATTTAAAAATTATAATTTATTAATATTATCTATAAATTTTATAGATTTTGAAATACTTACAGTTATCAAAAATCTCTTTAAACAATTGTCAAAAATTATTTTTCATACATTTTAGGTTCACTTTTCACTGGCAGTTTGTAAACAACCGACAATCATATCAATTTTTAATTTTTATTCAAAAAAGTGAGAGGAATGACGGGTGAGAGGAATGACGATTTCAACATTTTTTAATTTTATTTAATTGACAAATAATTTTCCTCCAGCTTAGAATGCCCTATCATGTTTATAAAGGATAACTTTATGTGAAAAAAATTTGCGATCAATTTATATATATTAATATTGTTTTTATTAGGGGTGAGAGGAATGACGCTTTAGGTTGTGAATCTCTGCTTATGTCTCAATTTTAATTTTTTTAACGCAAAATAATGACATTTTTTAAAAAGTAACTTAAGAAATTAATATTAGAGATGTTAATTTAAATATTGATCACAATAATTAATCAATATCTCTACCCACAGCAAAAATATTGGATAATATTAAACGAGTGAGAGGAATGACGCGGTACTACATGACAAATTTCATTTTCTATATTTAAAAAAACTACACGACATATTTTATTTATATTTTTGAAAATTATTCTTAGATATCATAACTTTTAGAAAAAATTAATAAAGTACCAATTTTCATGTTTTAAATAATTGTTTTACCTATTGAAAAAATGAAAAGCACTTAGATGACAGGTTAGAAAATCGATTTTGAGGTGGTAAAATATTTTAAAAATGTATTAAACAATAAAATTTTACAACTTTTTCTTGCAGAACCTTTAGAAAAAGTGATAAAATAGGGAAATATGACTTGGTATTTTCCCAAATGATTATAATTATTTAGAAAATTTTGATTACATGCAAAATGAGGTTTTTTGGAGAATCACCCTTATAGTAAAAGAAAGAAATGTTTATGTTAGATTAAAACAAATTTTCTACTAATTTTACTGTAAAAATTTCCAGAATTTTTCTTCGTATGACTTAAGGTAATTTTTACCACTTACACAACGATATCAAAGAAAATTAATTAATGGTAATTAATGGTTGTTTCTTCAATAATATGTGATATTAAAATTACTAATTATTTCTCAATTTGTGAAATACTTTTACAAATAAAAATAAAAAGAAATTGACGAAAATAAGAATATTTTAATGAAAATAAAATTTATAGTTTTATTTCACATATTTTTTGAAATTACAATTCAACCGTCTTGTGTTTTTCCGTGAAAAAAAATTTCCATTTTTACATAACCTTACGACTATGTTAATTAATGATTTTCTTTTTTTCTATCATTTAAGAAAAAAAAATGAAATTTGAAGAAAATGAAAAACAAAAAAATACAAATTTGTCAAAATCGTGATTTAATGTTAAAAATTCTCGTACTGGATCACCTATAGAGAAGTTTTGAAGCGATATTTTTTCCACTTTGTGTGAAATTGTCACCATAATTCAAAAAGTTTTGGCACAAATTCTCGTATTAGTGTCGTTTTTATACAGGACATCATCTCCCCCAAGGTTGCAGGTTTATCTCCTTTGGACATAATCGAATTCACAATGAGTTATACACGGTTTCGTTTTAAACGTGCCCCAGTAGACGAATTTCTCAAGACAGAAAAAAAGAAGATGAAAAAACTAAAAAAAAGAAAGAAAAAAAATGGAGAAGGAAAAAAAAGACGACGAGACCTGAGAGAGAGAGAGAGAGAGAGAGAGAGAGAGAGAGAGAGAGAGAGAGAGAGGCAATGGAACACTATTCTCATTCATTGGACAGTTTCTAGCGATATAAGTTATTGCACAAGAGAGATGAGTAGTTTGTGTGTGTGTATGTGTTAGTATAAAGGACACACCAAAAGCTATTTCGACTATGATATAACTCATATTTACGAGCAATGGGAGTTATGCCAACTTTAAGAGGCTGCATAATGAAACTCACTGACAGTACATGTAACCATTTTTTTCACTCTCTCTATCTCTCTCGTTACCTTTTTTCAAATGTTGACTCACTTTATCATTGCGTGTATACAATAACGAGATATTCAATGTGTCAAAAAATAGTATAGTAGATAAATCTAAAATGGGTCAATGAATTATTTTATTTTTTTGGGGGGGGGGAGAACTGTATCCAAATACTATTTGCCAAACGAGATAAAAGTTTTTTTTCAATACATAAATTTTTATTTTTTAGTATTATGACAATTTATTTGTTTTAATTATTTTCCACTATAAATAAATGTTATGCTATTTTCAAAACAAAAAATTCTTGCGATAGAAAAAATTGCATTTTTTTTTAATGCTAAGGATAAAGTCATGGAAAAGTCAGAGAATTTCA